ACCCGAGACACAGGGCAGTGAGACCCAGCACCCCCGTATACCCCCCAGAGACACAGGGCAGTAAGATCCAGAACCTCCCCTGTACCCCACCCCCCGAGACACAGGGCAGTCAATGAAGCACCCCCCTAAACTCCCCTCCAAGACACAGAGCAGTGAGAACCACACACCCCCTACCTCCCCGAGAAACAGGGCAGTGAGACCTAGCACCCGCCATACCCCCCTGAGACATGGGGCAGCAGACCCAGCACCCCCCACTACCCTCCCTCCGAGACACAGGGCAGTCAGACCTAGCACCCGTAAACTCCCCCTCCAAGACACAGGACAGTGAGACCCAGCATCTCCCCTGTACCCCCCCCCACGAGACACAGGGCAGTCACATGCAACACCCCCCTAAACTCCCCCTCCAAGACACAGAGTAGTGTGGACCAGCACCCCCCATACCTCTCCGAGACACAGGGCAGTGAGACGCAGCACCCGCCCTGTACCCTCCCCCCGAGACACAGGGCAGTCAGACCCTGCACCCCCTTGATCCCCCCAAAGACGCAGGGCAGTGAGACCCAGCACCTGCTCTGCACCCCTCGAAGACACAGGATAATCAGACCCAGCACCCGCCCTGTGCCCGCCCCGCCCCCGCGAGACATGGGGCAGTGAGACCCAGCATCCGCTCTGTAAACCTCAAAGACACAGGGCAGTGAGACCCAGCACCAGCCGTACCTGCTCCCAAGACACAGGGCAGTGAGACCCAGCACCCGCTCTGTACCCCTCCAAGACACAAGGCAGTCAGACCAGCACCTCCCTAAAGCCCTCCCCCCCCGAGACACGGGGCAGTGAGACCCAACACCCACCATATACCCCCTCGAAACACAGGGCAGTCAAACCCAGCACCTCTCCTGTACCCCTCCAAGACACAGGGCAGTGAGACCAAGCACCCGCTCTGTACCCCTCCAAGACAGAGGACAGTCAGACCCAGCACCTCCCTAAACTTCACGCCCCCGAGACAATGAGCAGTGAGACCCAGCAACCCCCTGCGCCTTCCCTCAAGACATAGGGCAGTGAGACCCAGAACCGCTCCCCAGCACCCCTCCAAGACACAGGGCAGTGAGATGGGATGGGATGGGAACCTGGGAGGCAGTGACCATGAGAAGGTCGAGTTCAGGATCCTGACACAGGGAAGAAAGGAGAGCAGCAGAATACGGACCCTGGACTTCAGAAAAGCAGACTGTGACTCCCTCAGGGAACTGATGGGCAGGATCCCCGGGAGAATAACATGAGGGGGAAAGGAGTCCAGGAGAGCTGGCTGTATTTTAAAGAATCCTTATTGAGGTTACAGGAACAAACCATCCCGAAGTGTAGAAAGAATTGTAAATATGGCAGGCAACCAGCTTGGCTTAACAGTGAAATCCTTGCTGATCTCAACACAAAAAAGAAGCTTACAAGAAGTGGAAGACTGGACAAATGACCAGGGAAGAGTATAAAAATATTTCTCAGGCATGCAGGAGTGAAATCAGGAAGGCCAAATCACACCTGGAGTTGCAGCTAGCAAGAGATGTTAAGAGTAACAAGAAGGGTTTCTTCAGGTATGTTAGCAACAAGAAGAAAGCCAAGGAAAGTGTGGGCCCCTGACTGAATGAGGGAGGCAACCTAGTGCAGGAGGATGTGGAAAAAGCTAAAGTACTCAATGCTTTTTTTGCCTCTGTCTTCATGAACAAGGTCAGCTCCCAGACTGCTGCACTGGGCAGCACAGCATGGGGAGGAGGTGACCAGCCCTCTGAGGAGAAAGAAGTGGTTCGGGACTATTTAGAAAAGCTGGATGAGCACAAGTCCATGGGGCCGGATGCGCTGCATCCGAGAGTGCTAAAGGAACTGGCGGCTGTGATTGCAGAGCCATTGGCCATTATCTTTGAAAACTCTTGGCGATCAGGGAAGGTCCCGGATGACTGGAAAAAGGCTAATGTAGTCCCCATCTTTAAAAAAGGGAAGAAGGAGGATCCTGGGAACTGCAGGCCAGTCAGCCTCACCTCAGTCCCTGGAAAAATCATAGAGCAGGTCCTCAAGGAATCAATTCTGAAGCACTCAGAGGAGAGGAAAGTGATCAGGAACAGTCAGCATGGATTTCCCAAGGGCAAGTCATGCCTGACTAATCTAACTGCCTCTATGACGAGATAACTGGCTCTGTGGATGAGGGGAAAGCGGTGGACGTGTTATTCCTTGACTTTAGCAAAACTTTTGATACGGTCTCCCACAGTATTCTTGCCAGCAAGTTAAAGAAGTATGGGCTGGATGAATGGACTATAAGGTGGTAGAAAGTTGGCTAGATTGTTGGGCTCAACGGGTAGTGATCAATGGCTCCATGTCTAGTTGGCAGCCGCTATCAAGTGGAGTGCCCCAAGGGTCGGTCCTCAGGCCAGTTTTGTTCAATATCTTCATTAATGATCTGGAGGATGGCGTGGATTGCACCCTCAGCAAGTTTGCAGATGACACTAAACTGGGAGGAGAGGTAGATACGCTGGAGGGTAGGGATAGGATACAGAGTGACCTAGACAAATTGGAGCATTGGGCCAAAAGAAATCTGATGAGGTTCAACAAGGACAAGTGCAGAGTCCTGCACTTAGGACGGAAGAATCCCATGCACAGCTACAGACTAGGGCCCGAATGGCTCGGCAGCAGTTCTGCAGAAAAGGACCTAGGGGTTACGGTGGACGAGAAGCTGGATATGAGTCAACAGTGTGCCCTTGTTGCCAAAAAGGCCAATGGCATTTTGGGATGTATATGTAGGGGCATTGCCAGCAGATGGAGGAACGTGATCGTTCCCCTCTATTCGACATTGGTGAGGCCTCATCTGCAGTACTGTGTCCAGTTTTGGGCCCCACACTACAAGAAGGATGTGGAAAAATTGGAAAGCATTCAGCGGAGGGCAACAAAAATGATTATGGGACACATGACTTATGAGGAGAGGCTGAAGGAACTGGGATTGTTTAGTCTGCAGAAGAGAAGAATGAGGGGGGATTTGATAGCTGCTTTCAACTACCTGAAAGGGGGTTCCAAAGAGTATGGATCTAGACTGTTCTCAGTGGTAGCTGATGACAGAACAAGGAGTAATGGTCTCAAGTTGCAATGTGGGAGGTTTAGGTTGGATATTAGGAAAAACTTTTTCACTAGGAGGGTGGTGAAACACTGGAATGCGTTACCTTGGGAGGTGGTGGAATCTCCTTCCTTAGAAGTTTTTAAGGTCAGGCTTGACAAAGCCCTGGCTGGGATGATTTAGCTGGGGATTGGTCCTGCTTTGAGCAGGGGGTTGGAGTAGATGACCTCCTGAGGTCCCTTCCAACCCTGATATTCTATGATTCTATGATCCAGCAAACCACATGCACCCCCCCGAGATTCAGCACTCCCCTATGTACCCCAGATACACTGGGCTGTGAGACCCAGCACGCCCCCTGCATCCCACCGAGACCCAGGGCAATGACACCCAGCACCCCTCCGAGACACAGGGAAGTCAGACCCGGCAACTCCCGTGCATCACCCCAAGACCCAGCACCCCTCTATGGCCCCCCAACACACAGGGCAGTCAGACCCAGCACCCCACCGAGATATGGCAGTGAGACACAGCACCCCCTCCGGTACCTCCCAGACAGAGGGCACTGGGACCCAGCACCCCCCTTAGCCACCCCTGAAGACACCCCCTACACCCTCCGAGACACTAGGCTGTGAGACCCAGAACCCCTCCTTTACCCCACAAGACACAGGGCAGTGAGACCCAGCATCCTCCCTGTACTCCCATGAGACGCAGGGCAGTGAGACCCAGCACCCACTCTGTACCCCTCCAAGACACAGGGCAGTCAGACCCAGCACCCTCCGTATCCCCATGGGACACAGGGCAGTGAGACCAACCACCCCCCCCGTACCCTCTGAGACACAGGGCAGGGAGACCAAGTACCCCCCGCCCCCCCGCACCATCCCAAAACACAAGGCAGTGAGACCAGGCACCCCTCTGAGACTCAGGGCAGTCAGACCCAGCACGCCCCTAAACCACTCCCCGAGACACAGGGCAGTCCAACCCAGCAACTCCTGTGCAACCCCCCGAGACCCAGTACCCTCCTAGGGCCCCCCAACACACAGGGCAGTCAGACCAAACACCCCCTCTGCATCCCTCTGAGATATGGCAGTGAGACCCAGCACCCCCCGGTACCCCCCAGACACAGGGCACTGAGACCCAGTACCCCCCTAACCCACTCACCAAGACACCCCCTACACTGGGCTGTTAGACCTAGCAACCCCCTACACCCCCACCCCAAGACATAGGGCAGTGAGACCCAGCACTCCCCTGCATCCCCCTGAGATATAGCAGTGACACCCAGTACCCCCCCGTACCCCTGCAAGACACAGGACAGTCTGATCCAGCAACCCACATGTACCCCCCCCCCCGAGATGCAGCACGCCCCTATGGCCCCCAGATACACTGGGCTGTGAGACCCAGCACCCCCCCGTATCCCTCCAAGAGACAGGGCAGTCAGACCCAGCACCCTCCCTGTGTCCCCGCACCCCGAGACACAGGGCAGTGAGACCCAGCACCCCCCTGTGCCTCCCCCTAAGACACAAGGCAGTCAGACCCAGCACCCCATTAACCCGGCCCCCGAGACACAGGGCAGTGACACCCAGCACCCTCCAACATGTCCCACCCTCTCCCTCACCCACCCTTGGAGAGACAGGGCAGTCAGACCCCTCATTGGCTGCCCCTGGACAAGTCTCTTTTCTGTGTCCCGCTCATGGGTGCCCAGAGCCCTGCAGTGGGGCTGCGTCCGGACCACCCTTTGATGGGCATTTTCAGAGCAGAGCAAATGAGTGCAGATCAAATGGAAAGGACCCTCTGCCCCCTGGCCCAACGCCTCTGTGTGGGAAATGCTCCACCCCCCTAAATATTGCCCACGTGTATATTGCTCTCTGCCCACAGCCCATTAGGCTCCCTGGGAATCCCAGCCCTGGGCTAAGGAGGAACTGACCTGTTCTTCATGGTGGGCATCTCTGGAGAGCTCTGGTTGGACGAGTTCTCCGACTTGGGCTCCTGGGACATGTGGCCGCTGTCAGGTGTCTTCTGGGGGCCTGCTGTGCTCTCCCTGTGAGAGGCACCGGGGACATACTTGGGCCAGGGCAGGAGAGCCATGCTAGCTGCTGGGCAGCTCTCATCTCCAGCTGCCCTCCCAGGGGGCACCAAGATCTTCCAGCCCATAGCACGGCAGGGCTGGATTGGTGACTGGTGTCCCTGTCCTCACGCCTGGTCTCCCCTGGGCTCAGTGCCAGCCGCGATGCAGCACAAACCCCCGGTGTGGCCAGGCTGGCCTGGGCCTGGCAGTGCGGGAGCTCCCGCTGCTTGGTGGCATCCCCACTCCCCTCGGGGTCTAATCCAGGCTGAATTCCAGGTGAATTCCAGGCAGCTGCCCTCAGGGGGAGAGCACATGCCCAGGGGCCAGGCGTGTCTGCTGGGAGCAGCCTTGGAGAGACGGAGCCGCACAGCGAGGTGCCACAGTGGAGGCTCTCTGTGCTCACTGGGGCAGCCCCTCCCTCCTCCTCCCCATCACCGCTTGGGGCTCTGCTTCCCTGCCCCCGCTGTGCCCTGTCACCCAGCAGGCTGCCTCCCATTGGCACGGGGGCAGCACCACGGGGCTGGGGCAGGGCAGGCAGGAAGGACCCAGCTGTCTCTGCCTGGGGGTGGGGGGTGAATGGAGCTGGTCCTCCCTCTTGCAGGTCTTGGCGCCCCTGCTCCTCCCCTGGCATGGCTTCACCCACCTTTTCTCCTGCACCTCCTGGATGTTCTCGATGCCGATGGCGCTGCTCCGCCTGGGGCTGAAGGGCCCTGATTTCTTCCGGGTTGGGCTCTTCCCAGGAACAATCAGCGACTGGAAAAGGTTTGATCCCATCAGCCAGACAGTCCTGGGAAGCCCACAGGGGCCCAAGCTGGGGTGGGTTGGACTTGGACCAAGGGCAAAACCAAACTGGAGCTGGAGCCAACCCAGCAAAGGGCAGGCGCCCCCATCCCGAGGGCTGGTCCCCCAACAGCATTCGCCAGGGCACCAGAGTCCCCTGCTTAGCCAGGTCCCACGGTTACTGCTCACACACATCTACCACTAGGGAGCCCTGTGGGCCACCAATGCTGGGCATCGGGCTCAGGGCCTCCTCCAGCTGGAGCCCCATCAGAGCGCCAGGGGCTGGGTGGAGAGGAGGAATTCGGCGATGACTCTGCCCCATCACATGGTGCCAGCTGCTAGCCATGGGGCAGAGACCGGGGCTGGGCCGGGCTGATGGGGTCTGGGGGCCTGATGCTGTTGGGGAGTGAGCGTCTGTCAACTGGAGAATGCTCAGCACTGGGGGGCACTGCTGGGGTGCCTGCACCATGCCAGAGGGGCTGGAGGGGCAGCACCTCGCAGACAGCGTGGCCTCTCAGCCGGGCTTCCTGACATGGGGAGAGGTGACCCATGCCGGTGGGGCACTCCAGCACAGCTTGAAGCAGTCACAGCCCTTTGCAAAGCCCTGTGCCCACCTCTGGCACCTTTCACCTGAGGATCTCCAAGCACTGCACAGACTGGAATGAAGCCCTGTGAGGAAGGTACCGTCACCCCTCTTGTACAGGTGGGGAAACTGAGGTACAGTGAGAGGATGTGACAGACAGGAGAGGAACACAGGAGTCTGCACTCCCGTGCTCCTTGCTCTAACCACTGGCTTGCACTGCCTGCCAGCTCAGGCAGGGCCAAGTACGGCGGCTGTGTCCATAGCTGGATCTCTCCTTGGAACCAGCGACACTGGCTGGGGGCAGGGCGGGGAGCAGTGGGGGTCAGGCCAGGGGCCAGTCTGGATTGACCCCAGTTATGCAGATCAGAGTGCAATGAGCAGAGGGGCTAGCCCAGCTGGGGACCCAGTAGTGTCAATGAATTAACATTGACACGCCCCCGGCCAAGGTGAAGGGAAGGTGTGGGGCCACATAGGAACAAGCAGGGCTGGACTGCGGGCAGTGAGGGCACCCGCCTCCTGCTGGCTTCTCAGTGGGCAGAGGGCCGTCTGCACTGGGGTTAGCCCAAGCGATCTATGCCAAGAGACTCCTCTGGAGTCAGCTCAGCTCCAGTGAGCTCGGCTTCACTGCAGCATAACTCTCCCCGCCATGGCTGCGCTGGCTGAGCCGGGGGCTTGTCGCATTGCAGGGGGCTGGGCTGGGCCGCTCTGTGAACACCTTCCCCGTGGATAGCAGGAAAACGTGTCTGTCCTTCCAGGCACAGCGGGCATGGTAGGAAGCTCTGGCAGACTGGCACCACTGACCACTAGCTGCATCCTCACTGCGAGCACTTGCGGTAGCAGCTGATGAGTGATGCTCACTCAAGTTGTAGTCTGTACCCACCGGGTCAGCCACGGCACGGCGTGTATGGAGGGAGAGGGAGGAGTGTGACGGAGTGGGAAAGTTCTTAATGTTTTCTCTGAATACTGGATGGATGCCTCAGTTTCCCCTACGCATTTCTTAAGTATCTAGGGGTGGCGGGATAAGGGTGTGTGATTGTTGCAGAGCCTTAGAGGGCCAGTGTGATGGTGTCTGCACAGAGAATGGCCGACACCCTGTCTCCTGGCAACTGATGGCCTGGGCCCACCCCTGCAAAGGGGCCAACTGAAGGTGTTGGAGAACGAAGAGATCAGGTGGCCTCCTGGCCTGGGAAAGGGACAAAGGCCAGGGGAGGGGCTGGAGAGTTTCAGTTTGGAGCTGGCTGGGAAAAGGGAGGGAGACCCAGACCTGGGGTCTGGGCTCTGGGCTCCCTACCCCCATGATGGACCTGGCTGAGGGGTCCTGTTCTCTGCACCTACAAGCTCTGTTTTAGACCATGTTCCTGTCATCTAATAAACCTTCCATTTTACTGGCTGGCTGAGAGTCACGGCTGAGTGAGGAGTTGGGGTGCAGGGCCCTCTGGCTTCCCCAGGAGCCCTGCCTGTGTGGACTCGCTGTGGGAAGTGCACGATGGGGTAGAGGAGGCTGAATGCTCCGAAGTCAGACCCAGGAAGGTGGAAGCTGTGGAAGCTTCTTGCCCTGCAGACAGGCTGCTCCCAGAGAGGAGGCTCCCCCAGAGTCCTGACTGGCTTTGTAGGGAATAGTTCCAGAGCATCGCCCGGGGACTCCGGGACAAGGGGCAAGGCTGGTGAGAACACGAGTTCACTCTGCAGTGAGGCCAGGCCCGGGCAGAGGGCTGGAGGGGGAATTGCTCCACTTTGCCAGGCCTGAGGAGAGGAAAGGCCCTGAGCTGTGAGGAAGGGAGGCAGCTGCAAGGGCTGGACACTGCAAGGCGTGGAAGGCGGCATGACCAAGGGTCTTTGGGGTGCCAATACCCAGGCAGGGGTGAAGGCAGCAGGTGCCATGGAGGCTGACACGCCTCTCTCCCTACCCAATGCCCCGAACTGCCCAGCCGGGATGCCCTTCATGCTGGGATGGCAGCCAGGCCCAGCCAGCCAACATCCCCACCACGGCCCAGCTACCCCATCGCATGTACAGGGCTGGCTCCAGAGAGGAGAGGGGTGCAGGGAGGGGAGGGAGGGAGAGAGAGAGAGAGAGAGAGAGACATCAACCTCTTCTATGGTTCCTATCCCTATGGCGCTGCCTCGACGTCCGCACCTACTTGGCGCTTTTCCAGGGACAAGCAATGACTGGTAAGCAGACAGAGGAGAGAAGCAGAGCAGGGTGGGGGGAGAAGAGAGGGGGGAGAAAAAGAGAAGAGAGTCATGCAAAAAAAATGGCTTGACCATCATAACAAAGGGCTCGTTAACAGCACCCCGTAGCTGCCCGTCGCTGGATGCGCATGTGGGTGTCATGGAGGGCTATGCGGGGAGACACTGTACCTGTGGTGGGGATCCCCACTGAGCAGCTACTGGCGCTGGATGGTGGATTTGGAGTTGGCAGCTCTCATGGGAAGGTCTGGGGCGAGCTGTGGGACTTGCACAGTGGGGAGAGAGGAGGGTGGGTGGGGAGCAGCTGGGAAAGGGGGCAGAGCTGCGGGACACAGCAGAAAGGGGGCTAGCTCAAGGCAACTTTTGCAGACAAAAGCAAATTCCTCCTTGGACCCCGCCCCGGGCAGGTCAATCTCTCACAATTGGGGAAACAAAGGCACAGAGGGGGCCATGGTTTGCCTAAGACTACACCACAAGTCAGTGTCTGAGCCAGGGATAGAACCCCAGACTGCTGGCACCTCTCCTTCCCTGAGGCCCAGCCAACGATCCCTGGGCACCAGGGGGCTCAGCTCCAGCTGTCCATGGCTTCCCGTAGGAATAGGGTGACCAGATGTCCTGATTTTATAGGGACAGTCCTGATATTTGGTGCTTTTTCTTATATAGGCACCGATTACCCCCCACTCCCGTCCCGATTTTTCACATTTGCCATCTGGTCACACTATGTAGGAGCAGGAGCCCGTGCTGGGGGACTGGCCATTGCCATGCTCAACACAGCCATGGAGCCCGGCGTTCCAGAGCAGTAACATCAGCAGGCAAATTATCCACCCTGAGGGCGGCCCAGTCTCCTTCCCCGCCAAACTCTGAGGCCTAGATCCTCCTTCGGAGGCACATGCACGTTTAATGCAAACAAGCCCTCTTTTGCCCAGCGCGCCCAGTAGCTGGCACGTCCCTTGCATCCCTCAGACGTTGTCTGGCTGCTGCCCTCACCGATCTGAGCCAGGGCCACCACTGGACAAGGGGGTAGCCACACAGGAGGGCAGGAAGCTGGGTGCTGGATTGTAAACTGAGCTGGAGTGCAGTTCAGCGGCATGGCCACACGATGACGCCAGCACCTAAGAGCTTGGCAGCGGGCTGGTTCTGAGGACTGGGTGAACTCACCCACATCTTGAAGCTAGTGCTTCCTCTTCCTGCTCCCAGAGGGGATTGCCACCGGTGCTTTGCCCTTCCTAGCCCCTTCCCTCCGGGATCTCCATGCACTTTGCAGGCATCAATTAATATGCCTCACAGCCCCCACTCTCTCCCTGGAACAGATGGGGAAACTGAGGCACAGAGCAAGGCTATGACTCACCCCACGTCACAGAGCCAGTCAGTGACAGAGCTGGGCAAGGAACCTAGGAGTCCTGACTCCCAGCGAAGCCTGTGGCAGACCTTCCACTGGTTTCACTGGGGCAGGGCAGTGCCGCTGCAGGGATGGCAGAGCCATGGGACCCATATGGGCCCACCCCTTCCCTGCATCCACTCCATGAAGACACTGCTGCAAACAGCAATGTTTCCATGGAAATAAAGGGCTGGTCCTGGTCCCTAAGGTCGGAGTCCAAGGAGACCTCCCACCAAGGCCTCCCAGCCCCACCCTACCTCCAGCACACACAGGAATTCGCAGCCTGCTCCTTTGATTTAAATGGCAGCTACATTTCTACGCAAATGAAGTGCAGCCCCTGGGCTCTCGGTGGGTTGCCAAGGCAGTCCTGGGTTACACATAGCCTTGGCCTGTTGGAAGAGGTCAGGGCTGCCCCTCCCTTGGACCTGCTTCCTGCCTCCAGGTCTCTGTTGGCCAACCACCAGCTAGGCAGTAATGCAATGACCAAAGATCCTCCTGGCACCTCCCTGGGAATGCTGCGAGGCAGGATCCCACTGCCCCCACGAGCTCTGCATGGGAACCATCCCCCAGTGCCCCTCCTGCAATGAGAGAGGGGCTGGACAAGGCCCCCCTCTGTGATGCTGGAGCTCTGGCTGCATCGAAGGGAAGGGGGAAAGGACAGGTGTGGTTGTATGGCTGTGGGGGCACAGAAGGGAACAGGTGGGAGACGGGGGTTCAGAGGGGACTGGGTGGGGGCTGGGACAGAGGAATGGGGGGTTTCACTGTGACAGTCACTCATGTGCCGAGAGAAGGACCCCAGGGCCCACACGTTTTCCCATCCTCAGCGAGTCCGGGCTCCGTGCTGCCTGATGCTGCCCTGCAGGAGGCTGAAGGGTCTGGGGGCAGGCTGGGGGGCCCAGCACTGAATAGGGAGGAGTGGGGTGGGGAAGGCAGGGGCAGCAGGGCTGAGGCAGAATTAAAGCCAGGCACAAGGAGAGGAAATGGGAGGCCCATGGCAGTGAAGTGAGCAGGGGGGCCCACAAGGAAGAGGGGGAGAGAGATGCAGGGAGGAGGGATGGGGTGGGTCAGGTGGAGCTGGGATGGAGCACAGAGCAGGGAGTGGGGGCAGGTTGGGGGCAGGGCTCTGAACAGGGGGTGTGGTCAGGGCTCACAGCAAGAGGTGGGTCCAGAGTAGAGGCGGGGTCAGATGCACAGGGCTTGGAGCAGGGGGTGGGGCTAAGAGCAGGGGTGGGGCTCAGAGCGGGGGTGTGGCTCGGGGCAGGAAGGGGTCAGAGAGGCGGGGCTCAGTGCGGGGGTGGGGCTCAGGGCAGGATGGGGTCAGAGAGGCGGGGCTCAGAGTGGGGGTGGGGTTCGGGGGAAGGATGGGGTCAGACAGGCGGGGCTCAGAGCGGGGGTGGGGCTCAGGCGGGGGGGTGGGGCTAGAGGGGGGGGGCTTGGGGCAGGATGGGGTCACACAGGCGGGGCTCAGAGCGGGGCTGGGGCTTGGGGCAGGATGGGGTCAGAGAGGCAGGGCTCAGAGCGGGGGTGGGGCTCAGGGCAGGAAGGGGTCACACAGGCGGGTCTCAGAGCGGGGGTGGGGCTCAGGGCAGGATGGGGTCAGACAGGCGGGTCTCAGAGCGGGGGTGGGGCTCAGGGCAGGATGGGGTCAGACAGGCGGGGCTCAGAGCGGGGGTGGGGCTTGGGGCAGGAAGGGGTCAGAGAGGCGGGGCTCAGAGCGGGGGGTGGGGCTCGGGGCAGGAAGGGGTCAGCAGCTCAGGGGGGTCCACAGGCGGGGCTCAGAGCGGGGGGTGGGGCTCAGGGCAGGATGGGGTCAGACAGGCGGGTCTCAGAGCGGGGGTGGGGCTCAGGGCAGGATGGGGTCAGACAGGCGGGGCTCAGAGCGGGGGTGGGGCTTGGGGCAGGAAGGGGTCAGAGAGGCGGGGGCTCAGAGCGGGGGGTGGGGCTCGGGGCAGGATGGGGTCAGACAGGCGGGGCTCAGAGCGGGGGTGGGGCTCGGGGCAGGATGGGGTCAGACAGGCGGGGCTCAGAGCGGGGGTGGGGCTCGGGGCAGGAAGGGGTCAGAGAGGCGGGGCTCAGAGCGGGGGTGGGGCTCGGGGCAGGAAGGGGTCAGACAGGCGGGGCTCAGAGCAGGGGTGGGGCTCGGGGCAGGAAGGGGTCAGAGAGGCGGGGCTCAGAGCGGGGGGTGGGGCTCGGGGCAGGATGGGGTCAGACAGGCGGGGCTCAGAGCGGGGGTGGGGCTCAGGGCAGGAGGGGGTCAGACAGGCGGGGCCTCAGAGCGGGGGGTGTGGCTCGGGGCAGGATGGGGTCAGAGAGGCGGGGGCTCAGAGCGGGGGGTGGGGCTCAGGGCAGGATGGGGTCAGACAGGCGGGGCTCAGAGCGGGGGGGGGGGGCTCGGGGCAGGAGGAGGGGTCAGAGAGGCGGGGCTCAGAGCGGGGGGTGGGGCTCGGGGCAGGAAGGGGGTCAGAGAGGCGGGGCTCAGAGCGGGGGGTGGGGCTCGGGGCAGGAGGGGGTCACACAGGCGGGGCTCGGGGCAGGGGTGGGGCTCAGGGCGGGGGGGGCTCACAGGCGGGGCAGGGGTGGGGCTTGGGGCAGGAAGGGGTCACACAGGCGGGGCTCAGAGCGGGGGTGGGGCTCAGGGCAGGAGGGGGTCACACAGGCGGGGCTCAGAGCGGGGGTGGGGCTCAGGGCGGGGGTGGGGCTCGGGCGGGGGGTCGGGCCAGGGCTCAGGGCAGGAGGGGGTCACACAGGCGGGGCTCGGGGGGTGGGGCAGGGGGGGTGGGGCTCAGGGCAGGAGGGGGGTCACACAGGCGGGGCTCAGAGCGGGGGGTGGGGCTCGGGGCAGGAAGGGGTCAGAGAGGGGCGGGGCTCAGAGCGGGGGGGGGGCTCGGGGCAGGAAGGGGTCAGACAGGCGGGGCTCAGAGCGGGGGGGTGGGGCTCGGGGCAGGAAGGGGTCAGAGAGGCGGGGCTCAGAGCGGGGGGTGGGGCTCAGGGCAGGAGGGGGTCAGACAGGCGGGGGCTCAGGGCAGGAGGGGTCAGACGGGGGGCTCAGGGCAGGGGTGGGGCTCAGGGCAGGAGGGGGTCACACAGGCGGGGCTCAGGGCGGGGGTGGGGCTCGGGGCAGGAGGGGGTCACACAGGCGGGGCTCAGAGCGGGGGTGGGGCTCGGGGCAGGAAGGGGTCAGAGAGGCGGGGCTCAGAGCGGGGGTGGGGCTCGGGGCAGGAAGGGGTCAGAGAGGCGGGGCTCAGAGCGGGGGTGTGGCTCGGGGCAGGAAGGGGGTCAGGGGGGCTCAGAGAGGGGGGTGGGGCGGGGGGGTCAGAGCGGGGGCTCAGGGGGGGGTGGGGCTCAGGGCAGGAAGGGGGTCAGAGAGGCGGGGCTCAGAGCGGGGGTGGGGCTCGGGGCAGGAGGGGGTCACACAGGCGGGGCTCAGAGCGGGGGTGGGGCTCGGGGCAGGAGGGGTCACACAGGCGGGGCTCAGAGCGGGGGTGGGGCTCGGGGCAGGAAGGGGTCAGAGAGGCGGGGCTCAGAGCGGGGGTGGGGCTCGGGGCAGGAGGGGTCACACAGGCGGGGCTCAGAGCGGGGGTGGGGCTCGGGGCAGGAGGGGTCACACAGGCGGGGCTCAGAGCGGGGGTGGGGCTCGGGGCAGGAGGGGGTCACACAGGCGGGGCTCAGAGCGGGGGCGGGGCTCGGGGCAGGATGGGGTCAGACAGGCGGGGGCTCAGAGCGGGGGGTGGGGCTCGGGGGGGGGGGGGGGCTCGGCGGGGTGGGCTCGGGCGGGAGGGGGGTCAGAGAGGCGGGGCTCAGGGGGGGTGGGGCTCGGGGCAGGAGGGGGTCAGACAGGCGGGGCTCAGAGCGGGGGTGGGGCGGCTCGGGGGGGCGGGGCAGGAAGGGGTCAGAGAGGCGGGGCTCAGAGCGGGGGTGGGGCTCGGGGGGGGTCAGGCGGGGGTGGGGCTCGGGGCAGGAGGGGGTCACACAGGCGGGGCTCAGAGCGGGGATGGGGCTCGGGGCAGGATGGGGTCAGAGAGGCGGGGGCTCAGAGCGGGGGTGTGGCTCGGGGCAGGAAGGGGTCAGAGAGGCGGGGCTCAGAGCGGGGGTGGGGCTCGGGGCAGGAGGGGGTCAGAGAGGCGGGGCTCAGAGCGGGGGTGTGGCTCGGGGCAGGAAGGGGTCAGAGAGGCGGGGCTCAGAGCGGGGGTGGGGCTCGGGGCAGGAGGGGGTCAGAGAGGCGGGGCTCAGAGCGGGGGCGGGGCTCGGGGCAGGAGGGGTCACACAGGCGGGGCTCAGAGCAGAAGCAGGCCCGGCGGGGGTGTGGGGATGGTCACACTCACTGTGCCCGCGGTTTTGGCCATGTCCGGGTTGTTGGGGCCGAAGCTGCCGCTGTGGCTGGTGGACACCGTGTTCTGTTTCTTGCTGCTGAGGCCCATGGCATCCATGGACTGGCTGCGGCTGCGGATCACGCGCTGGAAGGGAATTCAGTCACTGTCACTCGCTGCCTGCCCCACTGCAGCCCTGCACTCAGGGCTGCCAGCCCACAGCTGCCGGCCATCCCTGGGCCCAAGCAGAGAGCTGCAGCAGGCTGGAGGGGAGAGACACTGGGACACGCTCCGGGGAGCAAGGAGGGGGTCGTGGGGAGCAGAGCCTGAGACAAACCCCATCCCCCAACACTGGGCTCCCCTGGACAAATGGCAGTGGGTGGTGGCATGCGCTGGGCCTGTCACCTTGCGCATGGGCTATGCTGGGTGGGACTGGACCATGAGCCAGACCCTGGCAATGGAGAACTCTTGATGCTCCAGAAGAAGGCAAAAGCCCCCTTCCCACTAATGTACGTAGCAAGGGGTGCTCATGGTGGGCCAAGGGGTTCCTGCCTGACCCCTGCAGCAACCAGCTGCTGTCCTATAGCCTGAGAATTGATAACCTGCCGCCAGCCTGCGTGAATGGCTGTGGGATAACCCACTCACTGGATGTGGCCTATGAGCCCAGGCAACTCCACACAGTGACTTCTCTCCTCGAGAACAGTGAGTTCCTAGTCGCTCCCCAGGACCCTCCGACTGTCCCCACTCCCCAAGGTACCCGTCTGCCTGCTGCGCAGGTTGGGCATCTGCAGGAGGGGCAGGTGCCTAGATCTTGGCCCCAGGACACTTTTTTGGACTCTAGAAACCTGCGTGGTTGGGGGACAGCTGAGGCCAACAACCCCAGTAATGATGGCCCCACATGCTGCCCCCGCAGCACAGAGAGCATGAGCAGACTGGAGGGGCATTGCCCAGCTATGGGGGACAGTAAAGCTGCCCACTCCCTGTTGCAGGCTTCCCAGTGCTTGTACCAAGGTCCCAGCCCAGTGCCAGCCCCATCCGAGCAGCTCCTCTTCCCAGCCCCGTCCTAGGGCGCCTGCCTTTCCCCGACACCTCCAGCTGGGCTGGGGCAGGCTGGCAGCAGCTGGCTCAGGGCTGGGACCGGGGCAGGGAGGAGATGGGGGCAGGTGGCACATCCGGCTCCTGGTCTGGGGCTGTAACTAGCAGAAAGGAGCACTGCACACTTCAGTTCACTTGTACGTCGTTGGGGGGATGCTCAGGACTTGGCTGGCACAGCCTGGGACATGTTTCACTTTCCTGTCCCACCAAACAAAGGAACCCACAAGCCAACACGGCTAGTGCTGAGAGCAAGGATTGGCACCAGCAGTCCTGGCTTCCACTCTCAGCTCTGGAAGGGATCATGTCTAGTGCTCAAAACAGGGCACTGGCAGCCAGGACACCCTCCACGCCAGAAGGGAGTAGGGTCTAGGGCAGCCAGGACTCTTGGGTTCTATTCCCAACTCTGCCTCCCTGTGTGACCTTGAACAAGTCACCGAGGCTGGTGTTTTCAAAGCTGTGGTGATCCCCTGGGCACTGGGCACCCAACTCCTTCAGCCCCTTTCAACCACAACTTCCCATGCCCTGACCCCCCTGTGTAGGAGTGACCCCACTGCCCAGAGGGCTGCAATCCTTCTGCTGGGCCTGCCTGGAGGCAGGTGCCATGGCTGAGCCCTCACGAAGGGCTGTTTGCCTGGAGGAGCTTTTGCTGCAGCAGGATGAGACAGGTGGCAGCGTGGGGGGCTGGCTGCCAAGCAGGGCAGGCGGGCGCACTGCCAGACTCCGCCCCAGCTCCAGTGCTGTGCTCCATGGTGAGTGAAGCATGCAAGCACCATGCCGGCGGGGTGCCAGTCCCATGCAAGGGGAAGACTCAGACAGGTGCTTGCCAGCCAGGCTGGGAGGGAGACAGACGTGGGGAGGGGGGAGACAATGGGAGTCCTGCTTATTAGTGCCCCCTGCTGGCTAATATGGGGAGCTGCGGATGTGCCTGAGAGTCAAGGGACGACACTACACACCTCACCGCTAGTCTGCAGCCACGTCCCCTCCCCGTCCTTGGCTAGGTCTGTCCCTGTGCCAGGGGTATGCAGGAGATGGTGCAGCACCCATGAACCCACTTAGTGCAGGCTAAGGCCTGTGGGCCAGAGCCAGATTCACCCTCGTCCTCTGTGGATGTAGGGCTTCCCTAAGAGCTGACATTCCCCTTAGGTCCCTGGGGAGCAGCTGGACTCACTTCTCTACCCAACCCGTCCAGGCCAGGTCAGCAGGGCTGGGCAAGTCCGTCTGCGCCCCATGCATCACAGCGCTGCTGGGAACTTAGGTGTGCCCCCTGGGCCGGGCGGGTAGGAGCAAGAGTTCCCCGAGGTGAGACCCAGACAGCAAAACTGATGAGCAAACTCAGCACACCGGCCACTCACAGGCAACTCTGCCAGGGGGAGCATTGAGCCCTCTGCAGAGATGGCTGGGCCCCCAGGTCAGCCTGTGATGTTGCACTCCATTTGATTTTATGAAAATATGCTAATGAGTGTCAATATAATATTACTAGAATATGCTCCATACAAAAGGTCTCCTGTAAAGTATCATTACAAAGCTTATAATCTACTGAGTGTGGTCATCCTATTTGTATAAATGTATCACTCTTGTATCTGAAACTAGAAATATGAAATATAACTCTGAGGGCCTATTGTAATTATGCAAAGTGAGGGCCATTAATGGTGGTTTGGAATCCTGATGGCTCCCATCAACTAGGACAATTTGTTGTAAATGGCTGTTTACTTGCTAGCCTTCCTGTGAGTCAGGCCAGGAAGAATGAAGGCTTGGGGTCTCACAGGACATGTGACCATGTCACCTGGTATTGGAATCCATCTTAAACCTGGTGCTTTTTCATTGAGAAGGGGAGTTGGGGACCCAGAGAGACAAAAGATTCCCGCCTTGTGCCAAGGGGGTAGAACAGAACAAGGGGGTGGAACATACAAGGGAGTGGAACAGAACAAAGGAGGGTTCAGTCATGAGAAATCCCCTAGTTACCACCTGAGCTGGAGCTAACAAGAACTGTACCAGGGAAAGGACTGGGCCCAGACTAGGAAGGAGTCCAGTCTGCGAAAGAAGCTTATTGGAACATCTCTGAGGGTGAGATTTTATCTGTAATCAGTTTCTTCATGTATTAGGCTTAGACTTGCATATTTTGTTTTATTTTGCTTTGAAACTTACTTTGTTATGTCTGTTATTACTTGGAATCACTTAAATCCTACTTTTTATATTTAATAAAATCACTTTTGCTTATTAATTAACCCAGAATAAGTGATTAATACCTGGGGGACCAAACAGCTGTGCCTATCTCTCTCTCAGTGTTATAGAGGGCAGACAATTTATGAGTTTACCCTGTATAAGCTTTATACAGAGTAAAATGGATTTATTTGGGGTTTGGATCCCATTGGGAACTGGGTGTCTGGGTGCTAGAGACAGGAGCACTTCCTAAGCTGTTTTCAGTTAAGTCTGCAGCTTGGGGGATGTGGTTCAGACCTGGATCTGTGTTTGCAGTCTGTCTGGCTCAACAAGGCAGGGTTCTGGAGGCCCAAACGGGCTCAGAGGTAGTCTCAGCACATCAGGTGAGAGTGCCAAGGGGGTTTCTGTGATTGAACCCGTCACACAGCCTACAACAGAATGGCAATCCTCCCCTAGCCCCTTCCATGCAGGGAACCCAGAGGCCAGTCAGCACGCTGTCCCCCTTTGACAGATGGGGGAACTGAGGCAGGGTGGGGGAGTGACTGACCCACAGTCACACGCAGAGCTGGGAATAGAACCCAGGACTCCTGCCTCCCAGCCTCTGCTCTCACCATTGGATTCTACTACATCCCTTTAAGGCAGAGCCCTGCAACTGTGGCGTGTGCACACCTAGGGTGGCACGGAGGAACTTTGGGATGAGCGCAGTGGGGCCCTGGCCAGCCCTCATGGGGGGTGCAGTTGGAGTGCCACGCAGCTCCCCTCCGCCCCCAGGCTCCCAGCTCTGCTCCAGCAACGGCCCCAGCCCCAGCCTCACCCTCAGCCTTCTCCCTCAACTGTGGCCCAGCCATGGCTTCCGCTCCTGGCCCTGGCCCTAGCCCTGCCCCCACATGTGGCTCTGCTCCCAGCCCCAACCTCAGTCCTGCCCCCAGCTTCAGTCTCCGGCCCCGTTCCTGGCCCCAGAACCACCCTCCAGCCTCTGCCCCCGCACCCACCCACCCACTCAGGAGCTGTGGCCCTGCTCCTGGCTCTGGCTCCCAAGGGGGATGTGGGGGGGGGTGCAAAGAGGGGTAACAGGGGGCATGACTGAAAAGTTTGGGGACCACTGCTTTAAGGGCTAAAAGTGTGGGTTCCCCCTGCCCTCCAACACATGCAAAGATCTTCTGTCTTCTTCCCAGTGCTCTGAGCTGCTACACAGCTTCCCAGGCCTTGGCAGTCCCTGGCTGGAGAGCTGCACTGCCAGGGACTGTGCCACGCCCCTCTCACCTTGAAGGACTCGAAGAAGCCCCCGCTACCCCCGCTGCCATTCTCCAGCTTGTCCTCGTCCCCGCCCAGGCCCATCATGGACTGGCTGTTAACATGCAGCTCCTCGTACAGCGTCTCCAGCAGAGCTGCCCGCGTGCGTTCCTGTGGCAGGAGGGGCACAGGGGGTGTTAGCGGCATTGGAGGGACGGGCTGGGGGCTCTAGGGATCAGAAAGAAAGGGGGCAGAGGGAACCGAGTACTGCGGGGAAAGAGGACGAGTTGTGATTCTGCCCCTGGCTCCTGCTCGGTGCCCAGCTGTCGGCCCTGGAGAGCGGGGCCATCCCCAGGAGCCTTTGGCACGTGCTGCCCTGCCACAGAACCAGCTCAGTGCCTGTATCCTGGGCCCGGCGTAACAACTGCATGCAAGTATGCAGCGAGGCACGGCCCTGGCCCTGGCCCCAGAGCCGACGACCAAGGGCACCGTCTCGCCACCCTTGCTCCCAGAGCCCTAACGCGGGCTCCGCAGCACATTGGCTCTCACAGGAATGAGGGCTGGTGGATAGACAGGTCGGGCCAGAATGAGACAAGGGGCAATGGGTGAGGGGAGGGCAGGTGCTGGGCATTGCTGGGGGGGCTAGGGAGGATGCCAGCTCAGAATGCAGCCCCGGCATGTGGCTCCTGACCCACCTCCAGCTTGGCAAACTTCTCGGCTTTGTAGCAGGCGTACTCGGCATTGATCAGCTTGGTCAGCAGGAACTCCTGGAAGTCAAGGCCCTGCGGGAGGAGAAACCCCATGTCAGTCTCTGCCTTTCCTTTGGGAATGAGCTTGCCAGGCAGCCAGTATCCGCCAGGGCGACTTGGCAGCGGCTGAGCACCCCCTGGTGGTGGGACTAGCACATAGCAGGAGGAAGCTCCACCCAACTTGGCTCTGGCCTTGGCCCTGCCAGCCCCAGAGTTCCAGGCATTACCGCAATGGGACAGGGCAGTAACCAGCAGACTCTATGGCTGGCTGTCCAGATCCCTGCTCTGAGGCCTCCCTGGGCTCCCTGTCCAGTGAGAGCGGCATTCCCAGCGGAGAGCGTGACTCCCGTAAGCACACAGCCCTGGCCAGCCTGGTCTGGAAGTGCAGGTGGACGAGCTGGCCCCAGGAAGCTCCCTGGAACTGGGAAGTTCAACATGTCCCCTCTGGGCAGGTCAGTACCTGCCTGGGGCCAACAGCTGGCCCTCCTCGCCTCTCACCTTTCTGAAGACGGCTGGGTCAGGCAGTGGGGGGCCAAAGAAAGGCACGTCATCCCGGGCTGTGACAGACACCTGCAAGACATGGCGCTGTGAGCCCCTCCTCTGCCACGCGCTGCCAGGCCAGTGGGTACGTCTAGACAAGGGAGGGCCCAGATGGGGTGGGCAGCTCGTTCCTTCAGGGCCCCCTGCCTTGCACCACTTACTGGACACTGGGGTGTCTTCATGGCACAGGGGAATCACCCGCCCGACAGCCTGGGCAGGAACGCTGGGGCCTGCTGGTGCCCGGGAGCATCCCTCCGAGAGGTACGCCTGCCCAAGAGCTCACCCTCCCCACCCTGCTAGGCTGTGCTGAGCAGTGTCCTCCAGCACCCTGATGATGGGCCCAGCCCTCTGGCGAGGACTCTTTGCAGCATGTGGTGACAGCAATGCTGCTGTCCCCAGAGCTGCCATCTCCCCAGATCACTGGGACCAGGGGCTCAGCATTGAACCAGGGCCTTCCACTTCAGGTCCACAGAGTGTCCTTGGGTCAGCGTCAGCCTGACTCCGGATTCAAGCACCTCATGCCCAGGCCATGCGCTCTGGACAGGGCTCCCCCTCCTCCAGTGAGCATCCCAGGGGGAGCAGTGATAACACCCATGCTTCATCTCGGGACTCACATGATCATTAGCCCCAAGAGGAAACTGAAGCACAGAGAGACAAAAGGACTGGCTCCATATCACACAGAGTCAGTGGCAGAGCAGGAACAGAACCCAGGAGTCCTGACGACCAGCCCCCTGCTTTCATCCCGAGACCTCACCCCCCGCCCAAAGCCAGGAACAGAACCCCGGAGTCCTGACGACCGGCCCCCTGCTTTCATCCCGAGACCTCACCCCCCGCCCAAAGCCAGGAACAGAACCCAGGAGTCCTGACGACCGGCCCCCTGCTTTCATCCCGAGACCTCACCCCCCGCCCAAAGCCAGGAACAGAACCCAGGAGTCCTGACGACCGGCCCCCTGCTTTCATCCCGAGACCTCACCCCCGCCCAAAGCCAGGAACAGAACCCAGGAGTCCTGACGACCAGCCCCCTGCTTTCATCCCGAGACCTCACCCCCCGCCCAAAGCCAGGAACAGAACCCAGGAGTCCTGACGACCGGCCCCCTGCTTTCATCCCGAGACCTCACCCCCCGCCCAAAGCCAGGAACAGAACCCAGGAGTCCTGACGACCAGCCCCCTGCTTTCATCCCGAGACCTCACCCCCCGCCCAAAGCCAGGAACAGAACCCAGGAATCCTGACGACCGGCCCCCTGCTTTCATCCCGAGACCTCACCCCCCGCCCAAAGCCAGGAACAGAACCCAGGAGTCCTGACGACCAGCCCCTGTCTCTAACCTCTAGGGACTGTCATTCCCATATTAACAACCTTGTGCCCCATTTCTGAGTTTCATGGATTGCTTCCCATGCCCAGTGCTCTGCCCAGTCCTGTTCCCTCAGGTCCCAGTCTCTAACTGGGAGCAGGTCTGTGGCCCAACCCCTGCCCTGTTAGTGCCCTGGTAACTCGGTGGTGCTGCACGCATTGGGCTGGGTCCCTGGCGGGCTGCGAGCAGGCCCCTGGGCATGTGCTCACCTTGTAGAGCGTGCTCTCGGAGCAGGGCTTCTCCGCCTGCACCACGATGTAGGCATGCAGGAAATTGGAGGCGATCATGTCCGGCACGAAGGGCGTGTTCTCGTCCTGGAAGACGATGGCCACAATGTCGTTCCCGATGTGCCGCTTCCTCTGCAACTGAGCGCAGCGGGGAGGGCGTCACTCCCGCGGCCCCAGCCCCATGCCAAGACAGCCAGGCCCAGCGCGGGTCGAGGAGGGGAAGTGGTGGGAGATAGATCAGGGAGACTGGGAGGTCAGTGAGGGGCAGGAGCATGGACAGGCTAAGCCAGAGGGATGGGGGATCCCCTGGCTGCCCCTTGTCAATACCCCACCTCCCTCTGGCCCGAGTTAGGGCCTCGGCACTAGCGAGTGTCTCTTCACTCCAGTGGGGGGCTGGGGCTGGGTTAGAGCTCATGGGGAGCAGGCCAGGGGCTGCGTGGCGGGTGCAGGAGGGGGCTGGTTTGGGGCAGAACCACTTGGGATGGGAGTCATACTGGTCACAGTGACTGCGTAGAAAAAGGGCCACAGGTGGGTGCATGAAGAGGGTGGGGTGTGTGCACATGACGGCCGAGGGGCTGTGCGGGGCTGTACTTTAGGGTGTGTGTACACGTGTGTGCCCACATGTGCAGACCTGCATGTCTGTGCGCAGCCCCTGCCGGGGGGGTACTGCAGCTCTCTCGTACCTGCTGGGCGTCACCCTCGGTGTAGGGCAGCTTTGTGGACACGTGGAACATGATCTCCTTGCTGCGGAAGGTGCAGTAGACAGATTCTGTTCCCGTCTGGCCATGGGTCACGTCCAGCCCCCCCCGGAACCTGCCATCAAAGAGACCCAGGCCTCAGGCAGACGCCCACCCCGCCCTGTCCCTCCACTCCCAAGGAGCCTGGGACAGCATCTGCAAGGCCAGGCCGATCTGTCCTGCAGAGACCCACTGGACAGGACAGCGAGTGGCAAAGGCTTAGCAAAAAGGGGCCAGAGCAGCGCAGGGGACCAGCCTCCCTCCTCTCCACACACAGGCCTGGCAGACCCAGGCTGGCAGGAGCTCGCTCACCCCTTGAAATCCTGCAGCTGGACTTTCTGGCCCAGGAAGTTGAGGAACTCCACGAACGCCGGGCTCTCCTCGGTGGTGCCGAACAGCTCCTCCTCGGATGTCTGCAACAAGGCCAGCAAACCAGAGGAGTTAGGACAGGGCTGGGCCCCCTGCCCAGCTTAGCATGAGCCCAGGGCTGTGCCAGGTTGAGGCCTGTCCATACAGCCTGGCTGGAGGGAAGCTGAGTCTGTGAGGGGGGGCAAAGGAGCCCCTAGCGGAGATGGCGCTTGGAAGGGCGCAGGAGCAAAGAGCCTCTGCTGCGGCCGAGCTCCCCCCAAGTCTATGCCGTGAGCTGAGCTCTGACCCGCAGAGTGAACCCGCAATGCCCCTGCAGCACCTGCCGATTGCCGTGCCTGCAGAGAGCATGGCAGCCACTGGGGCCCAGTTCTGGGGAGAAGCCGTCGCAATCCTTCATCTGGTGCTGTTGCAGCCCCTAACCAACAGCCTGTATGTGCACCCAGCTTTGGGGTTCTCCCCATTTGTCTGGTGGGGAAACTGAGGCACGGGTACATGACTTGTAAAGGGTCACTGGAGAAGCAGGGAACAGAAGTGTCCAGACTCACAGTTCCCAGCCTTAACCATTAGGTGGTGCTCTTCACCCCACCCCAGCCCCGGTAACAGAACCAGGGCAAACGCTATGTAGTCAAGGGTGTGGTTTAGCTGGATAGTCCCGGCCATGGCTCCTGAATCCATTATAGCTCTTGGCAAAGCAAATGGGCCGTGGCTGTGCTCAGATGAAAGCAGCTGGGAGGGTGGGATGCCAGGGAGACGTCCCCGGTGGGTTCAGGCAACCCAGTTCCAGCCGCTTTTGCTCACCAACAGCTATGCTGAGCTGGAGCAATAGCTGGAAGGTTGGGGGCTCCCGCCCCCGCCGCAGGCTGCTTGTCAGAGGGGAAAGCCAGGGGTGGAGACTGGCAGGCTGGGGTAGCCCCAGCTCCCTATGGGATCGATTCACTGTCCCAGAAAGCCCAGCCCCCACCGCACGGAGACTGACCCACCTGGCCCAACTTCTGGTAGATGACGCCGAACTTGAAGTGATTGCTGAGGACGTGCTCGTCGAAGGTGACGATGAGACGGGAGGCCTGGGGAGACGGGAGAGGCTGGTTACATCCAGCTGCCAGGAACCGCTGCTCCCTCTGAGTTGTGACGGGGACCCGGCCCTGGGAGGACTCACGATCCATGCAGGGCAGGGTTGCTGCATGGGGCGGGTTCCTCTCAGGGTGGCAGGTGTAGGGTGTGAGGCGTGGGGCAATGCAGAATCTGGATTTCAGGAGGGGCGGTCTCATGATTTCAACATTTCTTCCATCCCAGAATGAAAACAACATTTGAAATTTCTCACAAACCAAAATTCTGAAAGAAAATTCATCTGGGGCCAATCGAAGCTCTGACAAAATCTAACCCTTCCCTTTCCAGCACCACTTTCTGCCCTATTTTTATAAGATATGACGCTCAAAAATAAAAAAAAAAGTGGAAGGAAAAGTTCTTTCAAAATGGAAACCTGAAATGCTGCGTTTGGAAAAGATCAAAATGGGACACTCCGAATGGGACGCCCTCAGCCCTGCATGGCACCTCCAGCCCCACACCCAACAAGGACGCCCCATGCCTGGCAGGACGCCCCCAGCCCCGCAGACAGCACTTCATTTCCATTTGGAAAGGAATTTACCAAGGCGAGATGATTCCATGGAACGTTTGCTGTCTCTGAACTGGCATTTCCAGTGGAAAAACGTCCCATTCGAAAATTTCCTCCCAGTGGCAGGTGGGTGAGGGGAGCCCTCAGAGCAGGTACAAGCCGCACAGACAGGGACTGGGCCGGCTCTAACAGGCTTTTCCCATCTCTGAGATCGAGGACTCTGGTTCTTGTCCCCACCTGGCGCAAGCCCAGGCCCCTCACACAGCTCTGTGCAAACTCCTAGCACAGCGACCAGGAACCCCCGCAGAGCAGGGCCCTGGGGGCAGGGGACCCGCGGAGCAGAGGGCGCCGGGTGCAGCCGGGACCTGAGCTCTTTTCCAAATCCAGCCCTTTGTGCCTTCATCCACATGTAGTTACCCACAATGCTCTTCTGGCTGTCAGCAGACACAGGATGGAACAAGAGCTCTGGGATATGTGGCGGGAAGGGGGGTCTGGGAGTCACCCAGGGATAGGGTGACCAGAGGGCAAGTGTGAAAAATCGGGATGGGGGTGGGGGTAATAGGTGCCTATATAACAAGAAGCCCCCAGAATCAGGACTGTCCCTATAAAATCGGGACATCACCCAGGGATGCCCCTCTCTTTCCTGCTGGCTGGGGAACCAGAGTGCTTCCTGGCATCCCCCCCTTGCCGCAGTGGACTTCAGATATGTGCTGTGGGAGGGGTGGACTCTCCCGAGTCCCAGGGCTTCCTCTGACCCCCCACCCCCAACCCAGAGGTGGGAGTTTTGCCATGGAGCAGCAGGACCCCGGCCCAGCCCAAGACAGAATGCCCTGAGCTGAGCACTTTGCCAGAGGCGAGCTCCCAGCAGGAGCGGCCTTTCCACACAGACCTGCTTTTCGGGGCTGCGCTTCACTCCACCATTAACTGCAGGTGCAAATCCCACCCGTCAGTGCCTGGGCACCGGGGACGCCTCAGCACTGGAGTCAGGGAGCAGAAGGAGGCCAGCCCTGATATAAACCCAGCCAGTGAGGTGAGCCCCTGGGATGGGGCGCCTCTCCTGTGAAGCTCCTCTAAACCCCTGGGTGGGGCTCTGCGCTGGGCCGGGAGCACCCTGAGAAAGGCTCCCTGGTGGGGCTTGGCGGTGCCGCTTCTGGCCACCGGCAAACCTGGCAAAGGAGCCAGCCAGGGTCAGGTTTGGGGCTAAAGCTGGACTAAGTTCTGATTGGCTGTGGAATGCCCAGCCTGCCCTTCCGACATCCTGCTGCCTGCTGAAGGCTGGGGTTCCCTGCTGGGCGCCCTGGTGGGAACCCCCAGTGGTGCGGAGGCAGGCTGGGGGTGTGAGCGTGCGCGGGAGCTGTCAGAAAGTTCAGGCTGGCTTCCTTCCCCCTGCACGCTGCCGCCAGCCTACCTTTGGGTACAACACCGGATAGAACCGATCCACGTTCACGTCCTCGCACGCCAGCTGAAACAGTGACGAGAGAGTGAGAACGTGAGACTCAGAACCGCATGTGTGCACGTGTCACGGGGAGGAGGAGGAGGGGAGCGTGGATGGGAGCAGCCAGAGCCCACATGTTTGGGCTTTTGGGATGACGCTCTCTGCTCTCTCAGGCTCCCTTCAGGGAGCACGGGGGGGGGGGTTGTGTGTGTGCCCCTGCACAGCCCCTGCCCCCCACCAGGCTATCGACTGCAGTGCTCTGAGAGAGAACGGGCCGTACACCCACAGTGCCCCGGCCTGCTGGTCACGGCCGCTGGACAGGCTGCAGAAAAATGAACCCCCGCTGGAGCCAGAAGTGGTCCCGGCCATAGGGCACTAATCGGCCCCCACGGCCCAGCACTCTCCTCAGCACTCCTCAGGCAGGGAAATGGGGCCTGGCCTGTGCGAGGGCTGAGTGAGATCAGGGTACAGGCTCAGCCCATGGTAACCCCGGGCACCAGAGCTGGAAGGGTCCCACCGAGGTACCTGCCTTGGCCATCTGCACGACGTTGGGAAACTCGGTCAGGCAGGAGATGGGGATGACGTCATGGTAGGTTCGGCACTTGGTTCTGCAATAAGAGGCGAGGGTGTCACAGGACCAGGCAGGGCGCCCCGAGAGCCCTGGCACCTGGCCCCCCAGATGGGGGAGGAAGCATGATCCAGGCTCTGTGGCTCGGGCATTGCCCCGGGGACGCAGAGGGCCCCTCGCTCACCTGAGTAGCAGCCGCAGGTGCTCCTGGTCACCAATGACATCGTACTTGAGGGAGAAGACGAGGTGGCCCAGTGCTGTGTCCAGGCTGTAGTAGTTAAAGTGCTCCTGGGGGGAAACAGACGAGCCACTGAGAGACCAGAGAGCAGCCTCCCAGCGGGGGTGGACAGAGCTCTTTGGTCCCTGTGACGAAGTGGGACTGTTCTTAATGTTTCCTCTGAATAGTTGGGGGGGTGCCTCAGTTTCCCCTAGGCAGTTCTTAAGTATCTAGGGGGTGGAGTAAGGGTGTATGATCATTGCAGAGCCCTAGAGGGCAGGTGTGTGCAGGAGTCTGGACACAGAGAATGGCCGACACCCTGTTTCCTGGCCACTGATGGCCTGGGCCCTTCCCCCCCTGCAAGGTGAGAGCTGAAGGGTTGGAGAACAAAGGAATCAGGTGACCACCTGGCCCGGGAAAGGAACAAAGCCCAGAGGAGGAGGGGCTGGAGGGGGTTTTCAGTTTGGGGCTGGCTGGGACATGGAGTGAAGTGCAGACGTGGTTGTCTGGCTCACTGCCCCCCAGAATGGACCCAGCTGAGGGGTCCCGTTCTCTGCACCTGCAAGCTCTGTTTTAGACCATGTTCCTGTCGTCTAATAAACCTTCTGTTTTACTGGCTGGCTGAGAGTCACGTCTGACTGCGGAGTTGGGGTGCAGGACCCTCTGGCTTCCCCAGGAGCCCCGCCTGAGCGGACTCGCTGGGGGAAGCGCACGGAGGGGCAGAGGAGGCTGAATGCTCCGAGGTCAGACCCAGGAAGGTGGAAGCTGTGTGAGCTGCGTGTCCTGAAGACAGGCTGCTCACAGAAAGGCGACTGCCCCAGAGTCCTGACTGGCTTCATGGGGAGCAGTTCCAGAGCATCGCCCAGGGACTCCGTGACAACTGGTGGCAGCGGTGGGATGTACTGCACCCCGTGGATGGCGCTTCCTGCAGTAAGTGACTGGGGAGCAGTAACACGAAGGGGGATTGCCGAGGACCAGGCCTGCTGAAGGCTCAGAGAGGAGCGGTTTCGGGGGGCGGTTAACCTCTGGGAGTGTGTGACCAGCGAGAAGGACTGTGCAGTAACAGGGTTCCCCTGGGGATTGCAGCGAGCAGTCCAAGGGGCGGAGGAGTCTGCAGCTCGACCCTGGCAAAGAGGTGGTGACCTCGAGAAGGGCTGGCACACTAGGGGTTCTCCCTGGAAACCGTGGGGAGCTGAGAACACACGGGCCTGTGAGTCCACAACAACTTGGGAGGAGCGGAGTGACGGCCTGTCACTGTCTCCTTAAGAAGGACATTGTAACCCTGTGCAAACAGAGAGGGTTGAGCTTGGAAAGTTCACCAAAGCAGAGTTAATCGTGCAGCTGGAGGAGGATGACCGCTCTAAGGAACAGATTCCTGACCCCAACTGGGGCTGTAGCAGGATCTGGGAGCAGCTGGAGCGGGAGCCAGGCATCGCCAAAACTCCTGTCCCCGACCAGACGGGGGTCTTCACGATCGGGTTCCCCATCGGGGGATCGAGACGGACGGGATTGGAGCTGAGTCTGAGAGAGCAAGAGGACCGTGGGAGACAGCGAGAGCCCGAGAAAGAGCTGCAGAAGCAGCAGCAGCATGAACTGGCGGTGGGGGAGCGGAGAGGCCTAGGGGACCTCCCCGGGGTGAGTGGGGTTAGATCCCGGGGGGCCAGTTCCACAGGGAACCTTGAGACTAAATTGGTGCCCCTGGTTAAGGAGGGGGGGGTGTGGATGCCCACCTCACTGCCTTTGAGCAGGCTGGCGATTTGAACCAGGGGGACCCTGCGGAAAAGCCCCGGTGTCTAGCTCCTTTGCTGGGTCCCAAGGCCATAGACTCCGTCAGCCAGATGGGTGGGGATGTGGACAGGCTCCCACTCCTGACCCCAACCTATATGTCTGTGTGGAGTTTCCTGGGGCCAGGCCCCTCGGACCTCCAGTGGGAGCAGAAGGTGATGGTCAATGAGGAGACATTCTTGGGGTGGCCAAAGGGCATGGGCTGCATAAACCTTCCCACATGCGGCCTGCGAGTGCTATCGAACACCCCTGACCTAAGGGAGGGTGTGAAACTGGAAGGGCCTGGTGTAACTCCTACCAAGGAATGGGAGAGATGCTGGGGCATCCATGGGAACGTTGGTGGCTTCGAACTTCCCCAGGTCACTGGCTAAAGTGACCCCGCTCAGTTCGATCTCGAAGGGGGGAGAGATGTGACGAAGTGGGACTGTTCTTAATGTTTCCTCTGAATAGTTGGGGGGGTGCCTCAGTTTCCCCTAGGCAGTTCTTAAGTATCTAGGGGGTGGAGTAAGGGTGTATGATCATTGCAGAGCCCTAGAGGGCAGGTGTGTGCAGGAGTCTGGACACAGAGAATGGCCAACACCCTGTTTCCTGGCAACTGATGGCCTGGGCCCTTCCCCCCCTGCAAGGTGAGAGCTGAAGGGTTGGAGAACAAAGGAATCAGGTGACCACCTGGCCCGGGAAAGGAACAAAGCCCAGAGAAGGAGGGGCTGGAGGGGGTTTTCAGTTTGGGGCTGGCTGGGACATGGAGTGAAGTGCAGACGTGGTTGTCTGGCTCACTGCCCCCCAGAATGGACCCAGCTGAGGGGTCCCGTTCTCTGCACCTGCAAGCTCTGTTTTAGACCATGTTCCTGTCGTCTAATAAACCTTCTGTTTTACTGGCTGGCTGAGAGTCACGTCTGACTGCGGAGTTGGGGTGCAGGACCCTCTGGCTTCCCCAGGAGCCCCGCCTGAGCGGACTCGCTGGGGGAAGCGCACGGAGGGGCAGAGGAGGCTGAATGCTCCGAGGTCAGACCCAGGAAGGTGGAAGCTGTGTGAGCTGTGTGTCCTGAAGACAGGCTGCTCACAGAAAGGCGACTGCCCCAGAGTCCTGACTGGCTTCATGGGGAGCAGTTCCAGAGCATCGCCCAGGGACTCCGTGACAGTCCCCTCTCTGGTCCACTGCGACCCCCTGGGGTAACGGCTGCCCTCCTGGGCTCACACGACAGCCCAGCTCCTGTGAGCAGGAGCTAAGGATTTCTGCCCCTTGGGCCCCAGCGCTGAGCCGAGTGGGGTGCCCCCATCAAGGCCTGCGGCACCTCCAGGCGACAGAGGAAGGGAGGGGCAGTTTGCTGGCTAGGGCTTTGCGCAGCCTGGCAGGTGAGGGCCAGCTGGTGACCAAGTTGCTGGGGGACGGTTAGGCTCAGGCAGCAGGTCAGACACCTGCCACCATGCACGGGAGGGCGGGGGGCTGCGAGTGGCTGATGGGTCCCATGTTGGCTGCTGCAGCTCATACGCCCCTTGGAAGAGGCGCATACCCCTTCCACTCCCTGGCATGCTGAGCGCTGCCCCCCACAGGCTGCTGGGCCAGGCTGGCGTGTCCTGCACAGCCCCCGCTCGGGACTCGGAGCAGGACCCCACGATCTGGAGATGTCCCACAGGGTCTGTCAACACCTCGCACCCCTCCACGGCCTGCTGCAGGCTCAGGGGTCAACAGAGCCAGGGACCCAACGAGCCTCAGAGACCAGCGGGCCGCGCAGCTGGGGGATGCATCCAGGGAACCACAAGGAGTCTGGGCTGCTGCTCGCACTTCCCCGCCAGCTGCAGGTGAACTTGGCCAATGAGCCATTCCCAGCTTCCAGCGGCACACTCCTGCACGCCAGACCCCTCAACTCCTGGCTGCATGAACCGGGGCCGGCCGGGACCTGGAGGTGCCATCTGGGGGGTTCAGATGCTCTAACACAGTGACACCACAGGGCCCTTCCCAAGTGCCCCGAGCCCCAAGTGAGGGGCACCCAGAGCAGCTGCATTGTGGGATCCAGCCCATAGCGCAAACTGCCCCCTCTGCGATCACGGTGCAATGGGTCGGCCTTGCCCATGGGGAGAGGGAAGGGCCGACACACAGGGAGTAAACCCCAGAGCAGGGTGGGCCATCCCTACCCCCAAAGGCAGGGTCTATTTCCAACACTGGCAAAGCTTGGGCTGCCAATCTGATGCCTTTGGATTTGAGCGCCATCCCTGGGACCAGTGGACATGGCCCTGGGCACATTCCAGAGGGATTAGCCATGGGTAGCCCCGACTCACGCCAGGTGACTGGGGATGTGCAGTAAAGGTCCGTCCCTCAGCACTGCTGGGGGTGTCACACCCTTTCCCCAGAACATTTCTCCCCACCAAGACACCAGCGCTGGCCAGAACACTGTGACACAGCCAGCAACGCGCTCCAGCCTGCTGCAGTCCCCAGAGTCCTGCCGGCGTGGGGTGAAGCACAGTGCAGACAGACAGCTGAGTCCAGGGAGCATTTCAACCCCACGGGGCGGATACAGCCGGAGCTGTACGGCGTGTAACAAGGCCCCAGCACAATGCTCTGCTGGAACAGTAGGAGCAGAAGGGATGCAGCAATGCAATCGGCAGGGGGCGGGAGACGTGCTCTAGCCATTGGAGGAGGGTGCAGGGGTGATTCATGCACCTGGAGCTGCAGCTAGCCAGAGATGTCAAGAGTAACAAGAAGGGTTTCTTCAGGTATGTTGGCAACAAGAAGAAAGCCAAGGAAAGTGTGGGCCCCTTACTGAATGAGGGAGGCAACCTAGTGACAGAGGATGTGGAAAAAGCTAATGTACTCAATGCTTTTTTTGCCTCTGTTTTCACTAACAAGGTCAGCTCCCAGACTGCTACGCTGGGCATCGCAAAATGGGGAAGAGATGGCCAGCCCTCTGTGGAGATAGAGGTGGTTAGGGACTATTTAGAAAAGCTGGACGTGCACAAGTCCATGGGGCCGGACGAGTTGCATCCGAGAGTGCTGAAGGAATTGGCGGCTGTGATTGCAGAGCCATTGGCCATTATCTTTGAAAACTCGTGGCGAACGGGGGAAGTCCCGGATGACTGGAAAAAGGCTAATGTAGTGCCAATCTTTAAAAAAGGGAAGAAGGAGGATCCTGGGAACTACAGGCCAGTCAGCCTCACCTCAGTCCCTGGAAAAATCATGGAGCAGGTCCTCAAAGAATCAATCCTGAAGCACTTGCATGAGAGGAAAGTGATCAGGAACAGCCAGCATGGATTCACCAAGGGAAGGTCATGCCTGACTAATCTAATCGCCTTTTATGATGAGATTACTGGTTCTGTGGATGAAGGGAAAGCAGTGGATGTATTGTTTCTTGACTTTAGCAAAGCTTTTGACACCGTCTCCCACAGTATTCTTGTCAGCAAGTTAAGGAAGTATGGGCTGGAAGAATGCACTATAAGGTGGGTAGAAAGCTGGCTAGATTGTCGGGCTCAACGGGTAGTGATCAATGGTTCCATGTCTAGTTGGCAGCCGCTATCAAGTGGAGTGCCCCAAGGGTCGGTCCTGGGGCCGGTTTTGTTCAATATCTTCATAAATGATCTGGAGGATGGTGTGGATTGCACTCTCAGCAAATTTGCGGATGATACTAAACTGGGAGGAGTGGTAGATACGCTGGAGGGGAGGGATAGGATACAGAAGGACCTAGACAAATTGGAGGATTGGGCCAAAAGAAATCTGATGAGGTTCAATAAGGATAAGTGCAGGGTCCTGCACTTAGGATGGAAGAATCCAATGCACCGCTACAGATTAGGGATCAAATGGCTAGGCAGCAGTTCTGCGGAAAAGGACCTAGGGGTGACAGTGGACGAGAAGCTGGATATGAGTCAGCAGTGTGCCCTTGTTGCCAAGAAGGCCAATGGCATTTTGGGATGTATAAGTAGGGGCATAGCCAGCAGATCGAGGGACGTGATCGTTCCCCTCTATTCGACATTGGTGAGGCCTCATCTGGAGTACTGTGTCCAGTTTTGGGCCCCACACTTCAAGAAGGATGTGGATAAATTGGAGAGAGTCCAGCGAAGGGCAACAAAAATGATTAGGGGTCTGGAACACATGAGTTATGAGGAGAGGCTGAGGGAGCTGGGATTGTTTAGCCTGCAGAAGAGAAGAATGAGGGGGGATTTGATAGCTACTTTCAACTACCTGAAAGGGGGTTCCAAAGAGGATGGCTCTAGACTGTTCTCAATGGTAGCAGATGACAGAACGAGGAGTAATGGTCTCAAGCTGCAGTGGGGGAGGTTTAGATTGGATATTAGGAAAAACTTTTTCACTAAGAGGGTGGTGAAACACTGGAATGCGTTACCTAGGGAGGTGGTAGAATCTCCTTCCTTAGAGGTTTTTAAGGTCAGGCTTGACAAAGCCCTGGCTGGGATGATTTAACTGGGAATTGGTCCTGCTTCGAGCAGGGGGTTGGACTAGATGACCTTCTGGGGTCCCTTCCAACCCTGATATTCTATGATTCTATGATTCTAGCATGGCTAAGGGCCAGTCCTCATGAAAGAGACAGGCTGCGGCCAGGTGCCAGGAAATTAATCCCAGCAGCAAGGGGTGCAGAAAAGCAACAACATGTAAGTACTCCAGCAAACAGCGTGAGATCCTTGGGCAAACAGAGCCCGGGACTGCAGCTCACACCCTGAAGGAGAGCCCAGGGGCCCTCAGGCCATGGCATGGGCTTTCCCAGGCTTAGGCCTGTTTGACTGAGAATAACAGAGTGCTGCTCTTCCAACCATGCAGCACTAGCAGGATCCTGTGATCCAACCTGCAGAGACTGGAGTCGGCGCCAACCTCACCTGCCCTCAGGTACCCCAGTTCTGTGCATGTGAGGGGTAGGGGGAGGCCTGAAGCCAGATTTGAACTCCCCCTATTTGGTGACTTGCCCAGCCCCTGGAGTGGGGTGGAGGGCCCCTGGGAAGCAGAGAACTGCTGTAGAGCAGCAAATGCCAACCATGCTCCCGATCCACCCCCTATGCCGGCTGGGAGCATGGCTGGCACAGAGCCCTGACACCAACTCCATACTGTTCAGGGAGGCCCCCGCATAGGGTGGCTTTTCCGGAAGCCGTTTCTGCTCCCTTAAAGGCCTCTTTACGGCCCCAGAGCATCTTAAAGGGGCCTCAGCTCACCGGCTAACCAGACCCCTAAACTGGATCCAAACGCTAGCAGGATCCGCTCCTCCCCCTGAGCCCCAGGAAACTGGCTAGTCCCCAGCTGCATGTCCCCTGGGAGCGGGCGAACTGCCAGAGCTGCTTGGGAGTCCCAGGCCTGGGAGGAGGGACTGGGAGCTGGGCAGGGCAGGGCTCTTGGGAGATCTGAAATCAGACAATGGTTTGTGTGTTAAGGAGCCCTGACAATGGGACATCCTGGGCGCTCCCGATAGCAAGATGTCCCAGGTCACCATTGCTTCCCCAAGCCTCTCTCCCCAAACAGGAGTTGAGGCAAAGGCCTTTCTTTTCCTTGTTCGATTCCCACAATCCCAGTCCCCCCGTCCTGTTCACACAGAAAATTTGCCACATGGCTTCCTTGGGGGGCCCGATGGGGCTCGGCCGGGTTGTTCCAGGGGCAGAGAACACAAGGGTTAGCCCCAGCGTAGGCTGTCCTGAGCCTGCAAATGAAGCAGAACCCCAGTATGAGCCTGCTCCAAAGTCCATTGAAACCAGAGGGAGTCTGAGTCCCACAAGCACCGGGAGCCAGGGAAACTGGTCTGGTCGGGGAATCACCAGCAAAGGGACTGAGAACGGCCAGTCTGTGCTAAAGGCAGTGCATGGCGAGCGCCGGGATCATCTTCCTGCTGGGCCAGGGCCAGGGCCAGGGGGTGCTGGGGGGCGGGTGGGGAAGGAGTGCTTACCTTGCCCAGGAAATGCTTCCTGTAGATCCTGGCCATGTGGTTACATTCCAGTTTCACCTTGGAGGTTGGAGACGGGAGCGACACGGTTTCGGGGATGCTGGTCAGCTCATGGTTGGTGCCTTCGATCCAGTAGCCCCCGAACTGTGGCAGCAGGATGAGGGGGAACGGCCCCTCGCGCCCCAGCACCTGGAGGGAGAGGGAGGGCCAGGAAACTGCACTGGGGCATGCTGACCCGCGACCCTGGTGTGGAGACACCCAGCCTGCGCCCAGGATCTCTACAAGACCACTCTTCGGAAGGAGCCCAGAGGCCTTCGCAAACGAAGCGTTCGCCTCGTCGGCCTCAGGGGCCCAAGACAGCAGCCAAGGGCACAGCAGAGGAATGGGAAGCCAAGAGGGCACTGAGGGAGGCAGGACAGTGCTCACTGTCAGGAACCAGGCCCATTGGGAGCACAGGCTGAGCACTGACACCAGGGGTGGGGGAACATCTTTCTTTGAGCCTAATCCTGCACTCTGAGGTGATGAAAGGTCTCCCCTCCCACCCGGCTCTCTAATATCCAGGGACCAACCCTGCTACACCAACACTGCGAACTGCAGAGGGGCTTGGTTTTACCACCAGGAGCACAGCACCCCCGGCGCCATGCTGGGGCAATCAGGGAGAAGAGCACTCACGACTGGCTAATCGCCACCACTCCCCACTCACCCGTCCACAGCCTGGCCAGGCCAGATGCTGCATAGCGTAGGAGATCTGCTAGGATCCGAGCCCACCCCCAGACAGCTGGGAACAGACAGCTCATGGGCTCACTAGGAGGCTTCCAAAAGAGGGGTACACTGAACCCTCTTACCTTATAACTTGCCTTAGAGCAAGCTAGCGGGGACTAGTGCTTAGCGCACTGGCCTGGGCCTCAGGAGACTTGGGTCTCTTCCCAGCTCTGCCCCGGCCTGTGGGGTGACCTTGGCCAGTCCCTTCCCCTCTCCGTGCCTCATTTGTAAAAGGGGGCTGTAAAGTGCCTGAAGAGCTCTGGGTGGCAAGTGTGATCCAAGAGCTACAGCTTGTTCTCAGAGCGGCCTGACACTCAGCAGCACCCTAGGAAATCAGCCAGCGTCGGGCCCAGGATGTCTGTGCAGGAACTGGCTGATGGGGAGGCAGCTAAATTTCAATAGGAAGCACTTCCCTCTTGGTCTCTGTTGAAGCAACGCCCCGGCCTGCTGCTGGAGAGATGGACACCTCTGCCAGTCGCTAAGGCAGGGCAGGGAGGCTAATGGTTGGTAAAGACCCTGGGGCCCTTTTCCTACACGATGGAGCCTTGGCCTCAGTACCCTGGCCTGGTAACCATGCCCACCCCTTCCACTCCAACCCCACCCTCCTGGTGCTACTCTGAGATCCCCGGGGAGCCGGGGGATTTCCCAGCGCCTCCCGGGGAATGGCACCATCCCCACAAGCGCCCAGTGTACCCTGCGATCTGGCAGGGGCAGCCAAAGGCTGCAAGGCTCAGGCGCTGGTCTGGCGCAGCAAGGGGAAGATCAGCAAGTGCTGGGGACGCCGCAGAACAGCCCGCCCCTCCCTGCTTGTCTCCTCGTTACTCACCGCACTCCCTACCCCCCCCCTTTTCATCCCATTCCCTCTGTGCCTTCCCAGGGACTCCCATCCTGGGCTGGCCACTGCCCTCCTCTAGACCTGCCCTGCTGCAATGCCAGTTGCGGGTGGCTGGGCAGAGCGGGCCCCACCCGGCCTTTGTCACCTGTCTCCTTAGACTGGAAGCTCCTTGGGGCAGAGACCATGCCTTGGGGATGTGCAGCACCCCAGGCCGGGTTCTGGTCTCCACGGCAACACAAATGTGACACAGGCAGAGCACAGGCACCCTCGTTACCTCATGGACGCTGGGATACGGAATATAATCCTCTTCGGTCTGAAACACACAAACACACCAGGGGCTCATCGACTGGGGGCGTCCGCCCTGCGTGAGAGCCAGGCCTGCTGCTGCCCCCCCGGGCCCCAGCCCCCAGCCAAGCCTGGCCTTCCTCCAAGGACCTGCCAGACGGAGAAGAGGCTTATTCTCAAAGCCTAGTAGGCACATCTCCCCTGGGGGGTGGAGCTCAGAGGGCAGAGCACTTTGGGGCGTGCACTGGTAGTAGAAGCTGTAGTGTAGACAGGTCTCTGCCCCAGGGGAGCCGCAGTGCTGCCCAGTAATGGGACGCCTCACTGTAGACCGGGGTGCTGCACAAGGGGCCTGGCAGGCACTGGAAAGGGGAGCAAATATCCCTGATGGGGCAGGCAGGACCCACCAGGCCCACTAGGCGCCAGCCCCCTGCAGAGGCGATCGAGGAACAAAGCCAGAGAGGTGACTGGTCAGAGGCTATCCCGTGACCCCCTGGACACTGTTAAAGGTTAACATTCAGATCAGCAGCGACACTGACGAGCGCCCTTGTGGGTGGCATGCCGTCAGGCCAATGAACGGTGCTGGCCCACTGCTTGTTGTCTCTGCTGGCTCTGTCAATCAACGGTCCCTTCTCCTGCCAACAGCCCAGCAGGGACGTCTCCGCGGCCACTGGCCTCCCGCACAGCTGCCGCAGACAGGGTGGACACGCTACAGCCAGCCCCCTGGGAAAAGGTGATGGCTCTTGCGGACGGCCCATCCCAGCTGGAGCTGCCCTCTGAAGGCATTAGCTTGTCACCTCTGGAGATCGGGGTTCAAATCCTGCCTAAGGCGACCAGGAGAATGAGTCAGATAGTCTCATTCCGCTTCCCACCTTCCCACCGCTGTGTTTCCCCACAAACTACGCTGCAGAACAGCTGACAGCTTCTCTGTGGAGGCTGCGGGTCACACTGCGGGGGTCGGCAGAGCTGTGTGTAGCGGGACCCAGAACTGGAAGGGCTGAGGGGGCTGCGGGTCAGCACTGCGGGGGTCGGCAGAGCTGTGTGTAGCGGGACCCAGAACTGGAAGGGCTGAGGGGGCTGTGGGTCAGCACTGAGGGGGGTCGGCAGAGCTGTGTGTAGGGGGACCCCAGAACTGGAATAGCTGAGGGGGCTGTGGGTCAGCACTGAGGGGGGTCGGCAGAACACAGGAACTGCAGGGGAGCCCAGTTCTGCCCTGTTACAGACACCAAGTTAGTTATCCCTAGTATGAGGTGCAGGCCCGCATAACTATACAGAGCACTAATCTGGTGAAGATCATGCCCTATTTCCTCCAGCTTGCTCAGTCTCCTCCCAAACTCTGCCCCTTTACCCTGTGCACTTCTCAGAATGGGAGCAGGTAAACACAAAACTCAAGAGGTGCTGCCACTCAGTAAGGAACACCATGCCTAGCGCTTAACCTGTGTGTAGGGGGACCCAGAACTGCAATAGCTGAGGGGGTGCGGGTCAGCCCTGAGGGGGTCGGCAGAGCTGTGTGTAGGGGGACCCAGAACTGGAATAGCTGAGGGGGCTGTGGGTCAGCACTGAGGGGGGTTGGCAGAGCTGTGTGTAGGGGGGTCCCCAGAACTGGAATAGCTGAGGGGGCTGCGGGTCAGCCCTGAGGGGGTCGGCAGAGCTGTGTGTAGGGGGGGTCCCCAGAACTGGAAGGGCTGAGGGGGCTGTGGGTCAGCACTGAGGGGGGTTGGCAGAGCTGTGTGTAGGGGGGTCCCCAGAACTGGAAGGGCTGAGGGGGCTGCGGGTCAGCCCTGAGGGGGTCGGCAGAGCTGTGTGTAGGGGGGTCCCCAGAACTGGAAGGGCTGAGGGGGCTGCGGGTCAGCACTGAGGGGGTCGGCAGAGCTGTGTGTAGGGGGACTCAGAACTGGAATAGCTGAGGGGGTTCGGGTCACACTGAGGGGTGTTGGCAGAGCTGTGTGTAGGGGGGTCCCCAGAACTGGAATAGCTGAGGGAGCTGCGGGTCAGCACTGAGGGGGTCAGCAGAGCTGTGTGTAGGGGGTCCCTAGAACTGGAATAGCTGAGGGGGTGCGGGTCACACTGAGGGGGTCAGCAGAGCTGTGTGTAGGGGGATCCCAGAACTGCAATAGCTGAGGGGGTGTGACAAAGTGGGACTGTTCTTAATGTTTTCTCTGAATATTGTGGTGGTGCCTCAGTTTCCCCTATGCAGTTCTTAAGTATCTAGGTGGTGGGAGAAGGGTGTATGCGGACCCTCTAGCTTCCCCAGGACTCGCTGTGAGGGGCAGAGCGCACGGAGGGGCAGAGGAGGCTGAATGCTCCGAGGTCAGACCTAGGAAGGTGGAAGCTGGGTGAGCTGTGTGTCCTGCAAACAGGCTGCTCCCAGAGAGGAGGCTCCCCCAGAGTCCTGCCTGGCTTCATAGGGAGCAGCTCCAGAGCATCGCCCGGGGACTCCAGGACAGAGGGTGCGGGTCAGCACTGAGGGGTGTCGGCAGAGCGGTGTACAGAGGGGACCACAGAACTGCAATAGCTGCGGGGTGTGGGTCACGCTGAGGGGTCGGCAGGTCGAGGCGGAAAAGCAAGGAGGGCCGGTGGCCGTGCAGTGGCTGGGAACCCTGTACAGCTCCTGCTGAGCAGCCCTCAGAGCCGGGGGCACATCAGTTTCTCTGCCTCTCGTCAGAGCCCCTCTGGTTGTGGGTGCTGAGCTGCAGCTCGTGCTCGGTAGGGAGCGCGAGGGGCGTCAGAGCCGGCTGCAGCCCGCAGCGCGCCGCATGGTGCAAAGCGCAGGCCCCATCCGACACTGCAGAGGGCATCCCAGCATAAGTGGGTAACCCCAAATGTGCTGGGGGGAGGGAGATCCAATGCCCCTGCCCCCATGCAGCATCCTCTGGGGCCTACCTTGAGAGGGGGTGGGAAGGAGCATCGCTGTTCATCCATTCTGCTTCCCTGCGAGAGACAACAAGGAAGAGGGAGTCAGTGGCTGGCCCTGAGCGTGGGCCCTAGCACCAGAGTCTGTGTTTGCTTTGCGGGTGGGGGCTGCTTCCTGCTTGGCACAGATCTGCAGGCAGCTGTGGGTCACAGCCGCATGGCTGTCCCCGCTCTGTACCTCCTCTGAGTCGATGGCTGTGGGTGGGCCTCGGGGGCTGTGTCTACCTGTGGCAGCACCTGGCAGGAGCGCTCTGCGAGCGGGGCATGAACTCACAGCTAGGGCGGGGCGCCGGCTGTCCCTGCAGCTGTGCGGCTCTGCAAGGCTCTCCATACTGCCGTGTGTCCGTGCAGCGCTTCAGGACAGGGACAAGTCCAGGCTACAAAGCCCCAGGAAGCCATTCAGCTCTGCTCACTTGGAGACCTTGGCTTCGCGTGCTGAACCCGCTGGGCAGAGCCTGATTCCCAGTCTGGGCCCCGCTCCTGCAGACGCTTCCGCTAGACGACTTAGCCACTGCCAGCAGCCTACGCAGAACTGCAATAGCTGAGGGGCTGCGGGTCAGCCCTGAGGGGGTCGGCAGAGCTGTGTATAGGGGGGTCCCCAGAACTGGAATAGCTGAGGGGCTGCGGGTCAGCCCTGAGGGGGTCGGCAGAGCTGTGTGTAGGGGGGTCCCCAGAACTGGAATAGCTGAGGGGCTGCGGGTCAGCCCTGAGGGGGTCGGCAGAGCTGTGTGTAGGGGGGTCCCCAGAACTGCAATAGCTGAGGGGCTGCGGGTCAGCACTGAGGGGGTCAGCAGAGCTGTGTGTAGGGGGGTCCCCAGAACTGGAATAGCTGAGGGGCTGCAGGTCAGCATTGAGGGGGGTCAGCAGAGCTGTGTGTAGGGGGACCCAGAACTGCAATAGCTGAGGGGGCTGTGAGTTAGCCCTGAGGGGGTCGGCAGAGCTGTTTATAGGGGGGTCCCCAGAACTGGAATAGCTGAGGGGGCTGCGCGTCAGCATTGAGGGGGGGCAGCAGAGCTGTGTGTAGGGGGACCCAGAACTGCAATAGCTGAGGGGGCTGTGAGTCAGCCCTGAGGGGGTCGGCAGAGCTGTGTGTAGGGGGGTCCCCAGAACTAGAATAGCTGAGGGGGCTGCGGGTCAGCACTGAGGGGGGTCGGCAGAGCTGTGTGTAGGGGGACCCAGAACTGCAATAGCTGAGGGGGCTGTGAGTCAGCCCTGAGGGGGTCGGCAGAGCTGTGTGTAGGGGGGTCCCCAGAACTAGAATACCTGAGGGGGCTGCGGGTCAGCATTGAGGGGGTCGGCAGAGCAGTGTATAGGGGGACCCCAGAACTGGAATAGCTGAGGGGGCTGCGGGTCAGCACTGAGGGGGTCGGCAGAGCTGTGTATAGGGGAGTCCCCAGAACTGGAATAGCTGAGGGGGCTGTGGGTCAGCACTGAGGGGGGTCGGCAGAGCTGTGTATAGGGGGGTCCCTAGAACTGGAAGGGCTGAGGGGGCTGCGGGTCAGCACTGAGGGGGTCGGCGGAGATGTGTGTAGGGGGTCCCCAGAACTGGAAGGGCTGAGGGGGCTGCTGGTCAGCAGTGAGGGCGTTGGCAGGTCGAGGCAGGAAAAGCAAGGAGGGCCGGTGGCCGAGCAGTGACTGGGAACCCTGTACAGCTCCTGAGAGACGGGAGCCCAGTGCAAAGGGTCTTTCCAGAAAGCACCATGGGTTTTGCAGCAGCCCCATCTCCCCGGCTCTGCTCAACCTGCTGCATCAGAGGAGACCCTGTTCATGCCCCGTCCCCTCCAGGAATGTATTGAACCAGCTGCAGCAAAACACTGAAAAACTCAGTTAAAAGCTCTTCAGGCTCCAGCCACAGCGACAGCCTCCGCTGAATAATACGAGTTGACAACCTGTCCGGCCTCCTCCGATCCCTGAGCCCCAAGGGCTGCTCCTGCCCTGGGCTCTCCCAGGGGACACAGGGCCTGACACAGGGGCCCTGACGGATCTCTCATCCCAGCTGGGGGTGGCGTGTGAGGGAGATCTCTGGGCTGAGATGGTAATTGCTCTCCCAAACCAGCCTCCACTTCTTGGCTGGCTCACCAGAGCCCACGTGGGCCCCCCACCCATGCCTCCTAGTATGTATTGCACCTTCCTTCCTTCCTTCTGCTCTGCTCAGCCAGCCACGGGCCCAGCTCTAGGGAGGCGACTCACCTGCATCTTTTCGATCATCTCAAACAACTCTGAGGTCTGCAAGAGAGAGAAAGCAGCCTGCATCAGCACGAAGGGCCGAGACCACTGTTCCCTCTGAGCTGTGTGCGTGTGCACACAGATCCTAAACCCTGCGCACACAGCAAAACACAGCGCACACAAAAATTTGCACAGAAACTCAACATTTTGCACAGAAGAATTTTTTTGTGCACACGGCCTGTCAAAAATTAGAGGGAACACTGACCCTGGTCTGCAATCCCAGCAGGCCTAGAGCCCCCATTGCCATAGGTCAGCCATCAGTGCCCTGCATGAGATAGCCAGGCTGCCCTCATCAGCCTCAGATGGGGCAGGCTAGGATAGCGGGAGGACTTTAGGGGTAGGTCTGATGAGACTCAGAGACAGCCTGAATTCCAGCCAGATCCCAGCCCCTGTCCCCTTCACTCCCCACATCTGCCCCACCACTGCCCTCACTAACTGCGCTGGCCTCAGGCCTCTGCTGACACCCCCACAGCCGGGGTACTCCCTCCCCAGCTGAGTCTGATCTCGGGGCAGTCAGTGAATCACGCTGGCTATGTGACCCAGGGGTAACACTCCCTGCTCAAGCCAGTCAGCCTTTGTCCCAAAGGGGATGAGAGCTGTCCTCCTTTTAGCCCATGCGCCCCTCAGCCTGCAGGGTTGGGGCAGTTCTGGCCTGTCCCAGGTGGGAGTTGACTGAGCCATTGATTGTGCTCGGATACAATGGGCTGGATTTCCCGAGACACGTTACATGGAGAGCCCCAATGTGCCCTGCTCTTTGGGCACTAGCAGGGGGTGGGGGCAGTAGGAGCTCGCTCGCCAAAGGACAGAGCTGCTAGACGGGTGAGGCCCCCCCATCAATTACTGAGATACCCACGTGCAGGGTTAGCCCCCCAGCGGATACGTAGCTACAGACGTACACTCACTTGTGTTGCGATACAGCTGTGTACACAGGCACATGGCCCCGTACAGGAATCCACACACACAGGGAGAGAGAGACACACACACAGAGACACAACCTCCCCTCCCTCCCATAAACGCCCTTGTGCACCTAGACACACTCCTGAACATGGACACACCTGCCAACGTGCATGTGCACACAGACACCCTCCTCAAACACCCACATGCAAACACCTACAGCCACTGCGCACACCCCCACCCCCATGTGCACCCCTGAGAACTCATTCACACGCACCCCATGTGCACACACACGGTGCGGGCCCCTGCTCACCCCCAGGCGTGCAGGGTTAACCACTTTCCCTTCTAACACAAGCAATAGCCCTTAATTACTTGTCTTGGCAGCGGCTCAGAGCCCCTTGAGTGCTCTGCGGCTCCCAGCTGGAGCAGGCAAAAGGGCTGGAACACAGAGCCCTGAACTTCATATGGAACAGCTAGACTGGAAAGGACGCCCTCGTTGGTTTGGGGGCTCCTCCCACCCACCCAATCCCCCTCCAGGCCAGCTCTTCTCGCTGCCTCCCCCGCATCCCAGCCCCATCCACCCGCTTTTTGCATCCCCTCCTGCCGTTCTGCCATGCTCCTCTGGGCCAGTGGGAGGGTCGGGGTCACTGGCAGGCACCACCCGAGAAAACCCAGCCAGGACAGGCAGAGGCTGCTGGAGGCCCCAGGGTCCCCGATGCTGATGCCGCTGCGTGCCCGAGATGCTGCCCTTGCGCCAGACTCACGTTCCAGCTGTACTCGGCCAAGTTCCTCCTGCACAGCCCTGGCGCACCAGAGGAGAAGGGCTGTGGCTGAGCCATCCTGATGGGCTCGGGCTCTCCTGGGGCACTTCCCCAAGCACCACACAAGCCCTGGCTGCTCTGAGCTCTTGTGGGGCAGCCAGCCCCTGCCCCCTCAGCCCCAGGATTGCAGGAGACATGGAGGTGAGTGCTGGCTCTCCCGGTTCTGCGATTCACTGCACTCGGCTCCATGTGTACCTTATGGGCGTGGCGGCAGGTGCAGAAGGGAGCCATGCCAAGGGGCAGGTCTCGCTGTTCTAGCCTGCCCCAGGCTGTGCAGAGGAGCCAGGTAGTTGGTTGCAGATCACCCGGATGGCCAGGGGTCTCCCATGCTGCACCCCTGGTGCCTGGGTGTGTGAAAACTCAGACTGCTCCTGCCAGCTCCCGGACCTGCACTGTAACAGATGGCAGCACAGCTCAGCCCATGCCAAGCTCTCCGCTGAGCCCTGGCCCTGCATCCTCAAATACTGCCCGAGGAATTGAGGGGGTGTCACGGTGTGATGGGGAGTCAGGGCCCTGCACCCCCACTTCCTGCAATTCACCATGACTCCCAGCCAGCCAGTAGAAGGTTTATTAGAGACGACAGGAACACAGTTCAACCCAGAGGTTGTAGGCGTAAACAGGATCCCTTAGTCAGGCCCTTCTGGAGGACAGGGAGATTAGTCCCAAGCCTTGGGGCTCCCTCCTCTTTCCCAGCCAACATCCCAAAACTGGAAACCCCTCCAGCCGTCTCACCCAGCCTCCCCCGAGCTCCTCCTCCAGCCTTTGTCCAGTTTCCCAGGCAGAAGGTGTCACCCTGCCCCAACCTAGGGAGGTGGTGGAATCTTCTTCCTTTGAGGTTTTTAAGGTCAGGCTTGACAAAGCTCTGGCTGGGATGATTTAGTCGGGGATTGGTCCTGCTTTGAGCAGGGGGTTGGACTAGAACCTCCTGAGGTCCCTTCCAACCCTGATATTTTATGATTCTATGATTAACCCCCCTCCTGACTCAGGTTCAGGCTCTGGTATCTTCCCTCAAGGGAAGTCTTCCATCCCAATGAAACCCCTGCAACATTCCCAGGTCAAATCCGCTCCACTCCCTACTGCATCACATCTCTCCCCCCTTCGAGACTGAACTGAGTGGGGTCACTCTGACCAGTATTCAGGGCTCCCTCTCCGGGACAATTCATCTGCTATCATGTTGGCAGTTCCCTTCGCAAGAACCACGTCCTTCTCATAATCCTGCAGGAGCAGGCTCCACCTCAGGAGCTTGACGTTGGCTCCTTTCATCTGGTGCAGCCAGGTCAGGGGAGAGTGCTCGGTGTACACAGTGAAGTGTCGCCCAAAGAGATAGGGCTCTAGTTTCTTAGCCAGGCGCTCCTTCTCGATGGCCGCGTAGTTCTGCTCTCAGGGTAGCAACTTCTTGTCCAACTACAAGATGGGGTGTCTCTCCCCCTTTTCATCCTCCTGCATTAACACCGCACCCAGCCCCGTGTCTGAGGCGTCAGTGAACACCATAAAGGGCTTGTCAAAGTCTGGGTTTGCCAGAACTGGGCCACTGACCAGAGCCTCCTTCAGCGCACAGAGAGCCTTCTGGCACTGCTCGGTCCAGACCCCCTTGTCTGGCTTCCCCTTCTTGCATAGCTCAGTGATGGGGGTGGCTATGTCTCTAAAGTGGGGCACGAATCTCCGATAGTATCCTGCCATCCCAATAAAGGCCTGAGCCTGCTTTTTGGTGTGGGGAGCAGGCCAGTCTCCGATCACCTCCACCTTGGCTGGTTCCGGCTTTAGGCAGCCACTCCCCACCCGGTGGCCCAGGTAAGATACTTCAGCCATCCCCACCTTGCACTTCTCCGCTTTTACAGTCAGCCCAGCCCCCTGGAGTCGGTCCAGCACTTGTCTAACTTGGGACACATGGTCCTCCCAGGTCTGGCTAAAGACACAGATCTCATCAATATACGCCACGGCAAAACTCTCCGTCCCCCTCAGGAGCTGATCCACCAGGCGCTGGAAGGTGGCCGGCACTCCCTTGAGGCCAAAAGGCAGGGTCAGGAACTCATAGAGCCCCAGAGGGGTGATAAAGGCCGATTTCAGCCGGGCATCTGCATCCAGCGGCACTTGCCAGTAGCCCTTTGTAAGATCCATGGTGATAAGGTACCGAGCTCCTCCCAGCTTGTCTAGGAGCTCATCAGGCCTGGGCATGGGGTAGGCATCAGATACAGTGATGGCATTGAGCTTCCGATAGTCCACACAGAACCGGATCGACCCGTCCCTTTTGGGGACCAGCACCACCGGCGAGGCCCAAGGGCTGGCAGATGGCTGGATCACCCCCAAAGCCACCATGTCCCTGACCTCTCTTTCCAGGTCCTGAGCAGTTTTCCCTGTGACTCAGAAGGGGGAGCATCTTATTGGAGGGTGCGACCCCGTCTGCACCCGGTGGACAGTCAGATTAGTGCGTCCAGGCTGGTTGGAAAACAGCTGTCGGTACGGATGTAGCACCCCCCTGACCTCAGCTTGCTGGGCAGGGGTTAGCTGATCCGAGAGGGGAATTGTTTCCTGGGAGGAGCCAGCTCCTGTCTCAGGGAATAGATCTACTAGAGGGTCATCTCCCTGCTCCGCCCAGTGTCCACACATGGCCAGCACCACATTCCCTCTGTCATAATATGGTTTCATCATATTCACACGGTACACACGGAGGTGGTGCGCCCGGTTCGACAGCTCCACCACATAGTTTACCTCATTTAATTGCTTGACAACCTTAAAAGGGCCCTCCCAGGCGGCCTGTAGTTTGTTCTTTCTCACGGGGATGAGAACCATCACCTGATCCCCGGTGGCATAGGCACAGGCCTGCGCCGTGCGGTCATACCAGACCTTCTGCTTCTTCTGGGCTCTGGCCAGATTCGCCTTGGCCAAGCCCATGAGCTCAGCAAGTCTCTCTCGGAAGGTCAGAACATACTCCACCACTGACTCTCCATCGGGAGTGGCCTTCCTCTCCCATTCATCGCTCATCAGGTCCAGGGGCCCCCTTGCCATCCTTCCGTATAACAGTTCGAAAGGCAAAAATCCAGTCGACTCCTGGGGCACTTCCCTGTACGCGAACAGCAGGTGAGGTAAGTACTTGTCCCAATCCTGCGGGTGCTGGTTCATAAAGATTTTCAGCATCATCTTTAGCGTCCCATTGAACCTCTCCACCAGCCCATTGGACTGGGGGTGATAAGCTGAGGCCCAGTTGTGCTGGACCCCACATTTTTCCCACAAGCACCGGAGCAGGGCCGACATGAAGTTGGAGCCTTGGTCTGTCAAGACTTCCTT